GAAAACTCAGCTGGAGCCAAATTAGGAAATTTGGCCTGTAGGGTAAATTAGTTTATATTGCATTTAGAGGCTGTAAAAATCTTCTGGGCTGTGATATGAAACTCTAAACCCTCTGCAAGGTTTTGTTTTTTTTTTTCCACTGCTGAGGTAGATGCCTAAGAGGTGCTTTGAATATACACAATGACTTAAACTCATCCAGATTGCCCCTAATTTTCTGGTGATGACTGTTGTTCATAGGAGAACACCATCTTTCAGAATCAAACCAGAGAAGGAATCTGCAGCGTTTTTCAGAAATTCAAAGGAAGATGGGATTGCAGTGACCCAAGCCTCCATCACCACTTTGAACCAAGAACAAAGTGGTAATAACACAAAACTGCCTCCATCTCTACTAGAAGCAGGAAGAGGAAAATAACATTTGCTTCAATGAAAAACAGACCCTTCACCACCGTATCTAACCTCTGCAAATGTATTCATAAGTTTTAATTTAATCGCTACCTTTGGAACTTATTTTAATTAGGCATTAAATCTGGTAAAGCCATTAAATATAATTAAAAATAACATCTGGGATACTTCTGTGGATACAACTTTGTCATTCACCCTATCACCTAAGTAATACATACTCCAAGTCACTTAATGGAAAAGGAGAGGGAACTTTAATCTAGACAGCTCACATGAAGTGACTGCAAGATGGAAGTTTGCCCATCCACCCTCTCAATGGAACAAGCAGCAGAGCTGTATTTAGCAGCCTTTGTTCAGAGGCTAAGACTGAGGACCAGAGGTATAAAGACAAGGACCCACACTAGTCCTCTGATGCTGGCTAAACAAGATGTAGAGCCTGATGTAAAGGTGGAGAATCAAAAGAAAAGAAAAAAAAAAAAAAAAAAAGAAAGAAACAACTAAACATGGTCTGAGGCAATTTTCTGCATAAAATACCCTCTTTCCTTTCACAGTACTTTGCGTTGGAAAAAAGATGATAAGCGTACACTGAAAGAAATGATCATGCATCCACAATGGAGCATTTTTCAGAAGACCTGTCGCTGTTTTCAGATATCATACAGCAACAATTCAGGTGTCCATTGCTGCAGGCCTATAAGAGACTCCAGTTTTAAATTGCTGGAGCTTGATTTTGACAAATGAGAGGAATTAGATGCTGTCAGCTCTGGGCCTCCCTCCCAGGGCTCATCGGTCACACCAAATTGCATTACCGTGGCTTTGGATGAGATCTGACTTAAGACTGCAACCTGTTCACCAATCTCCATAGATAAACGATAATTGCAGTTAAAAATTTGTCTCATCTTAAAATGTTTTAATGCCCTAAATTTTGTCTTGAGGCGTTGATGTAAGGAACCCATCAAATGCGCAGGGCAGTTAGCACAGCTTTACTTGTCTGGTGCTCTGAGTGGAACTCTTCAAAATCATGGCAACTGAACACAAGCATTAGTCTCGTTCTATGGTAGAAGAAAATCCCTTGGTAGTCACCTATGTGTCTCTCCCAGGAAAAGGGCAAATGAAAGAGCACTTATTTCATAGTGAAATGAACTTTTCAGAGTTTGTCAGACTCTTCTAGGGAAGACATTCAACCTTCACACATTAGAAATTCAAAATACCGTGGGATTAAATTATTACACATAAACCTTTCTTTCTGCACCTGCAAGCATACCAGTGCACTTCATGCTGTTCTAGTATAAATTGTTTTGAACGGCTGAAAATGGAAATGTTCATCAGATCCAGGTGGGTTGTAATGTTGTTGGTTAGCAAGCATGATGTTTTACTAAGAAAAAGGCACATTTGCAAAATTATTCTGCTATGCTATAAATAGTTAATATTTTCAACATTCATTTCTGCAATTGTTTCAGTGTTGCACTATAAAGTTTACCACTATAATGATCAAATAGAGAGGCAATAATATATTTTGTCATTTGCCAGAGGCATGGGAGGCCTTGAAAAAAAGTAGATTGTGATATGGAAGCCTGCCATTATTGTATGTTAATTGAAGAATAAGTGGCATCCACACCTACAGGTAAGCTAGGGCTCATTAGTAATTACAGGGCAATATTTTAAAGCAAAGTACGGTGTAGTGTTTTTCCTCATAGGATAGATACAGTAGCCTGCTGATTTCATCAGCTGGATCACCCAGTCCTTGTGCTTTTACCAATTGTTCCCAAAGCAGAAGCCTCAGGTGCATGTGATATCAAAGGAGGACTCCATCCACCTCTGCTCAGCTCATTTCCTCATCCCTATAAAAACTACATTTCAAGTCCCGTGCCCCTACCTGCTCACTTAAGTCCTGGCACTTCAAAGTGCAGTGAGAAGGCAGCTTAGGAGGCACAAACCATCACTCTCCCCAAGGCATAGGCTGCTATTGCTCAATAAGCAGCCAGTAGCTGGCAACAATAGCTGTGGCTCTTGAACTGAGATGCATATGAAATATTTCAACATTCTTTATTTCAGAGAATCTTCCCCTCCAGAAGCCCCAAGGAGGGTTAGAAAAGATACATACCGTGGTGTATGTCAGCAGTAGGAGGTCCTCCCTACAGAAGCACTGGAAGGAAGGGAATGACTTTGACTACAACTACAAGGAACCGGATAGGAACAAACTGAAAAAAAAAATCTCACGTAGTTATCTGAGGCACAAAGATTGGTTTGGCTTTCCAATTATAACCTGATTTTGCTCCATCCTTTGATATTTCTCTCTTTCTTCCTGCGAATGTTTTACTTTCAGGAACTGGTTTATACCCCATTATTGTAGGTTATGTGTATGTTTTTTGTTGGCAATGTCATTGACATTGCTAAACCTGCTGCTTTCAGTATTCCCCTGGCTCTTTCAAAGTTCTCCATGGATTTGTCATTCCACAGCATGCACTGATGAGTAGTTTATCATTGCAAGGAGTTACAGTTTTATGCAACTTTTATTACATGTACCAATTGATTAGTAATGAAAGCTTGAAGCGGAAAGCTAAACCCATTGCCCAAAGCACCTTGCAGCTTTGAATAGACTATATGGGCATTAAGATTAAGAAAATGGGTCAGTAAGATGATGCCTTAGGAAAGCCAAGAGCTGCTGTCTCAATGAACATGATCAGCTGCTTACTATGTTACACAGGTTTGGTTGTTCTGGGAATGGGAGATTTTGGACCTGAAAAGAATGTTAGTTTTTCCTTCCACCACCCCTTTTGCCACCAATAAACCAATGTGCAGATACACCAGGACTGCTTAGAGTCCCAGACCCTTTTTCACTGAATGGTGAGAACACAGTCAGTATGCTTTTAAAAATGTATTCTTGCCTGGAGCAAAGATGTGACTGCCAGTGCTTTTCCAGGAGAAGTCAAAGCTTGGAAGAAAGGCCTCTGGCATGAGACTGCTGGTGGCTTTTACTTTTCTTCCTCTGTGCCTCTGCCTGGATATGCAATAAGGTGATACAGCTGCAAGTTTCATCTTCATGCACTTATGGCTAGGAGGTATAATAAATAATGTAGGGAAGTGGCAGGCCTGCAATAGAAGCAGGGCATGAGTTTTTGTCTGGAGACCAAATGCTCTCTTGTCCGCAGGTTCACCCCTGCAATGGGCTTGTGGAGAGTTAAGTTTTATTTTTCTTGTTCTGAAACAGCTTTTTAACCAATCAATCAGCAGATCCAGACGGGAGGAGCATCTGAGCACACTCAGAACAGTCTGCAGATGAGCTGTGTCACCTGAGGTACCAACGCCAGCCTTGCTGTGCTGGGCTGAGCCAGGCACCATTGGACGCACCCCACAGAACCCTGCAGTGCCAGGTGGGGCTGCCGGAGCTGGGTCCCCACTTGCTAAGGTATGGCACAACCACGAGGAGTAACACTTTGTTGGGGCCTTATTTTCCACCTTCTTATCTCTGTTTCTGAGCCCTTGAAGAAAACCTAGCACAAGCAGGGGAGAAATTAGTTATTTTTCACCCAGGATAGTACAATGGCTAAGGCTTTTCCTTGTGAAGTGAAAGCTAAAGCTTCAGGTCCTTAGCTCCTCAGGTAAGGGTCCTGTTTTAGCTACTCTGAAGCATGGTTTTTGCTCTCCTTTGTCTCAACTAACTTTTCAGTGGGAGAACGAAGAGTGCACGGCCCCAGATTTATGTAAACGCTTTTGGTGTGCGTGCAGCTCCTTGAGTTTAAATTCTTGCTGTGACTTATTCCAATAGCAGCCAGTAAAGTGAGCAAATCACCATGCTTCTTGGCCAGTTTGGCCCTCTCTGTTGCTGTGCCTCTACTGGAACTGTTTTCAGTAACAAAAAACAGTAACAAAAAGGGGTGCATTTTCACTTGGAGTTGATCTTTAGCTGTTTCTACACGTTAAAAAAACTTTTATAAAACTTACGGAGGTTGTTTTTATACATTTTATAGGGGCATATAGCAACAGGACAAGGGGAAATAGCTTCAAACTGGAAGAAGGAGTTAGACTAGATATTAGGAAGACATTCTTTACTGTGAGGATGGTGAGAGACTGGTACAGGTTGTCCAGCAAAGTGGTAGATGCCTTCCCTGGAAGCATTCAAGGCCAGGCTGCATGGGGCTTTGAGCAACCCAGTCTAGGAGGAAATGTCCCTGCCTACAGCAGGGGGTCTAGAATTAAATGATCTTAAAGGTTCCTTCCAACCTTACATTCTATGATTCTATTATTTTAAACTCATTGTTTAATTGATAATACTAAAGCTCAGTGAAAGGCAGGCTTCTCTACACATTTAATCACTCAGAGTGAAATGGAGCAGTGTTCTGGCTGCGGCTCAGTACAGCTGTGTTCCTACCCAGCCTGTGTCATTCTTCTCAGGAGCATTTATTTGCCACAGGAGTTCATATTTCCGCTCTTTTCCAGCCTCTCAATGCTTCTGTAAGACAGAACATCTCTCTGATTTTCCCACCCCATCTTGAAAGCAGTAAATGCTCTACAAAGCACTTAGCAGCAGCAGTGCTGGTGCTACCACAAAGAGTCTAGTCCTGTGCTTAAGAAATGCATAAAAACTGACAGGGTTCTGGTGCTCTTTTGCAACATTATGTTTTAATGATTGTATTATTAAGCAGTTAATAGATATAAGCAATTTCTATACAGCTATAGCTAAGAGTTGTAAGAACAAACGTTTTTTTCCTCTGTGTTCAGCAGCAGATAGCAAGCTCTGTGTTTCTGGGGGCTTTCCAGCTGAATGTTCATCTGAGAGCTGTGACCTGGGTTGCATTTTGGATGGGCACGTTGCAGGCGTGAATTCATTTTCAACAGTTAAACAAACATAACTCCACAATGGCAGGCACTGACCTGTCCATAAGCAAGACACGGGGATGAGGAACAAGCACACAACATTTCAGTGGTCCTTTCCTTTAGACTTGTGTCCACTAGAAAGAAGAGCAGGATCGAGGAGCAGACCTGAGCACAGGACACACTAACCAGCTGCACATCACGCACTGTAAGTACACTTTCTGGTTCTGTGGGTTCAGGCTGTTTGACTGAGCATGTCTTAAAACACAACCCAGCTGTAGTGAGGGGACAGCACGTGCCAGCCACCATTCCCCAGCAAGCTGTGGGTGAGCCCGCAGGTCCCAGTCCCGCCACACTTCACCCCCACAAACACCCTCCAAGGCTTTCTGCCACACTGTTAGACCAACAACAAGCTCCCTCGGCTTCACGCAGCAACAAAAAAGAAACTAACGCCACCTTCTTATAGGCAGTGGTGCAGACCTCACATAATTACAGGCTTTGAAATGCAACAGAAAGCATTTAAAACTTAGGTATTGTCTTCTAATGCTACAGGGCTACCACACGGGACCCCAAGGAGGCTCTGGGGCACACAGCACAGTGTTTGGCTGTGAGAGTAACCAGCAGCCCTGGCCCAGTGTGCAGTGCAGGATAATGGGTGACAGTTCCATGGCAAAGGGATCATCAACACATCTTCACACCCCCCACCCCACCTTGACCTCCTTCATCCTACCACAGGGTTTAACAGTCCCTCAGAGAACCTGTTCCCCACTGACTCCCATGGGTTATCTGGCCACTCTGGGTTTGTGGTTTTTTTCCAATTTCTTTCACATTTTAGCAGGCATCTCTGTGTGCATTAGCAGCACTGTGCAGGAACAAACCATGCCCCAGTTACAGGTAGGTGAAGCACACAGAGCCCGTTTTCTCAGTGCATTCAAGGTGTGTCACTGCTGGCTACATGCTGTCAAGATCTCCAGGTGTTAGGGGTCACTCATTGTACCCATGAACAAAATGGTTTTTTTAGCAGCAGGTAAAAATTAGGTAGATGAGGTAAAACAGCATACAGCCGCCTCTGCTCCTGTGTGCATTTGCCTGCACTTATGGCATACTGCACCAGGACATATTCTCCTACATGAAGGTCACAGATCCTGCTGGTAAGACTTTGTTTTCTGAGATACCCCTCTTAGTTTTCAAATCAACTCGGAACAGCTCCTTCTGTCTTTCTTGCAGCCATATGTGATTAATTCTTTCTTCTCATAGTGCTCCTCAACTCAACAAGTAAGCCCCATACAAGGAGTACTGCGGAGGCTTATTTACTGCCTTTACTTGCAACAGAAGACAGCATTTTGTAGGAGCAGGGCTCAGGCAATGAAACTTTTTGTGGGTGTTCTCCTCTGAGCTCAGATACTGCCTGCATACACCAAATAGGCAGATCTGTTTCTCTTTCTTTAATTTTAAGTCATTTAATTTTCAGTCAACTCATTCTAGATATCAACACAGAAGAAATGTGCAGGAGTTTCCTGGGCCTCTGTGAACGTCCTGTGTTTGGATTAAATATGCCAAAAGCAGGCCCAACTCCTTCAGTGCTATGAAACCTAGAAACTTCTCTGATTTATGTTTCGTGCACTCCGTATCCTTCTCTACCATCTTTTTAATGCTGTGAAGAGCCGTAGCAATATTCCAGGCTCTTAGATCAAGGCAGTATTTCTTACCATAATCCCAAGCAAATGAAAACCAGGCAGTGTTCTTTTCTGAGTATTTTCCTCCAGCAAAGAGGTGTGAAAAAGAATTTCCTTTTTTTTATTTCTGTTCCATTTTAGCGTAGCACCTATTAAAAATACCTTGCCTGTGATGTTAGGGATAAAGACTGTAAAGAGGAAAAAAATCTAGCTGTGAAAATGCAGTAACTATGCACTCTGTTACATTACTTATTTTATCCTGCATTCAGCTTGCATCCGTAAGAAGCATTAGCTTAGGTCTTGGTCATCGTTCTTGAATTGAATGTAGTTACTTGTGTCTATGGTAACTATTCACCCTGAGTTTTTTATTTCAAAAGCTCTTGACATTTTAATTCATATAGGCACTGCCCATATAAACGAAAATAATCACTCATGCCTTAAGTGGAATTTTTCCTCTAGCCAAAACTTGAAAGCAAGAACCATAGTCTCATGTCTTCTCTTCTTGAAATGTAACTGCCCCCTTCGTGGCAGTCTGGAGCAGCATTTCTGTGCCAAACATTTGCAGGGGAATGGAATAAAGGAATAATTTCTACATCAGCAAGGGGAATTAGCCAAATAAAATGTAACAGTCCACACTGCAGATTGGCTGCTGTTAACAGGTATGTATGACTCTTTGGCCTGACTTCAGAGCTGAGCCCACCAATTCAGTGCAAATTCTTGCTGCTCAGCCTAGCTGAAAATCTGGACATTACTGAATGCAAATGGCCAGGACTTGGTTTGTAAATAATTGTATCATTCAAAAAGCACTGATAATGGGCTCAGGATTGAGGGAACAGGCACATGTAAAGAACTATTGCTATAACCACCACCGTTTTTTACAGCATTGGGAAATTCTTGAAAGGTCTCTGCTAACCAGGACTCTCATTTCTTGTCAAGTAAAACTACACTGTGAGGCTCTTGTGGTCTGAAAACTTGGGTGAGGAAAATTGCATAAATTCTTTTGAAAGCCAGGAACTTGAACAAGGCAAGATGAGAAATGTACAGGTTTTCTCAGTCTCCTGCAAATCATGAACACTGTGATGCATTGTAATGTGACTGTGATTGTTATGAGTTCATTGTAATGTGACTGTTGTAGCCTTCAGTGAGGAAAAGAATGAAAACCCAGCCTAGGCATATCCAGCTCCAGAGTGGCTGGGGAGATTCCAAGTCGTGCAACTTATTTTCCGTTCTACAGCATTCTGAAGTGCCTGAAAGAGCAGGTCTCTGTTGTTGAGGATGTTGTACTTGCTCAGGTTCACAAGTTTGTCAAAATTTTCAGGAGAGTAGATTAGCCTAATGAGGTAATAGGGTGAACAGTTGTTTTCCAGATTTACTTTGCCTTCTTCCATCTCTGAGAGACTGCGCTTTTCCCCTGTGGATGAAGAGAAAAGCCACCATAGTGAGCTTTGCTTGATACACATCAGCTTTTTATGTAACTGAGTGTTTTCATGGCAATGAGACTTCAGTATGTGGGGCCCAGACTGACAACAGAAGTGACTATTAAAAATGTCCAAGCTTTGCTTTGCCAAACTTCCTGATATTTGGAGAGCCTTATTATCTGTGCTATCCACATCCAGATACAGCTGCATCCACCTCAAGCACAGAAAAGTGCAGTCTGTAAGGGCATTGTAAATGGGAAATTCACAAGCCAATTCTTTCTCTTTTCTAGAATTTAAATAGTTAAAAGCAGAAAAAATAAATACCCACAATAATTTCCACAAGGGGTCTCTCAGCCATCTGGAACTGAAAAGCTCTACTGTTAAACTTGAAATTCACACAAACAGGTTGCTAAGGTCCCTCCTCCCCCAACCACCCATATCAGCTGCTCTCAGCTTGACCGATGAATCAGTGCCTGCTCAGAGGCATGCAGGTGAGCATCACATCTCACACATCTAGGCCTGGAGCATTGAGAAGCTGCAGCAGCTGTGTTGCCCTGCATAATCTCATCCATGTTTCACATAAAATGCCCCTAAGACACTTGTTTTATCAGCTAGCCTCTGTTCAGCAGCCTCACCTGACGGCACAGTGCCATTTGAACCATGTCCAGTTTCCACCTAACAAGCCCAGTTCCCTCTTCTGGGCACCTCCTCTTTGTCTGCAGTTTCTAAGTATGATTTTGTTGGAGTATCTGTTCACACATACACTCTCTAAGCGTTAAGTGGTGAATCTCATATCAGAAAATGAGCTTTGCTTAACCTCTGTTGCCGCTGTTCATAATTTTCCCCAAATGCATCCTCATTCATATCCCAGAGATAGAGGCAAATATGCATGAATGACCCTGATGGGTAGAAGATGGGATACTCTCACTCACACAAAGGCTGTGCCCTCTTACAAAATTGCTAGGAAGAACAAAGAAGATCAATACTGTAGAAAGACAAATAACCCAAATCCAAGTAAAAAGACTAAACTTACCAGGTGCCTTGAATTCCTTAAATGTGTCATTCACAAGAGGGAAATGAATTACTATGGGTGCTCTCGGGTCCTCTGCATCTTCAAACACGTAACATTCCTTTGGATTCTTTGCTTCTTCTTCACTTATCTCCACTTTGGGGAATGGGATTTTTTGTATCTTGCAATATTTGTATGTCATCTCCAATTGCTGTAGATACAGAACGTCATTGCCTTAAAGGAAGTACTAAGACAAGGTTTATTGATGTATCACAGAAATACTGTGGCAAATTAATTCAGTTCCTAGAATTACACTGCAGTCTAGGTGTAGACCAAAGTAGCCATAGAACAACCCTACTTTCTGCCATCACATGCCACAAGTCAGAAGACACTTATCACCCCATTGAGTTTTTTTAAACTATTGGAAGGAATGACAAAAGCCACTCTTAGAATTTGTCATGAGGACAGGACGTGGGAGATCACAATCTTGTCTTCAGCAGCCACTCGCTACTACAACACCCAGAGTATCCTAGAAAGTGAATGTCATGATCCAATACAGAGAAAGGAGCCTAAGATCTTTAGGCCTATCAGCCTATATTGCTGTGGTCTTGAAGGAAGCTTCCATCCTCCTCTAAGATAATGTGACTGGTTTGCTCTTAAGAATATGATCAAGATTTGGACAACTATTTACTTGAAAGTTTTAATAAATTAAGTATCCACATACTTCGTCCCGCTGATCAGTTCCCATGCCCCCTCACACTACAGACACATAAAGGGAAATAATTTTCCTGATCACCCAAGTGGACCTGCAGATGCTCTGAAATATGTAGTTGAAAAAATGTAAGCATGTTACCTACATATCTACATGTACAGCAATCGAGCTTCATTGAGTCTTTTCCATCAGAACTCCATGAAACTCCATTACTCACCTCAGGAGCTAACCTTTGTACTGTAAAGAGCACTTCTATACCTTTACCAATTAGTCACTTTTAGAGTAGCTGGTCACAGTATATTTGAGTATCAGATATAAATTTGGCTATGAACTCTTATGGCTTTAGAATAAGAATTTGACCAGGGCTGCAAGGAACAGATCATATTGATTTTCTTACCTTGAACGCATTCCCCAAACCATAATCAAGTGAGATAATGACATCTACGTTCCTCTCTGGCTTGAAAAGTGCTGCACCACTGGTGTTAATGAAATAGCCAACATCTATCAGGCAAAGATATTTCTGCAGTGGCGTCAGACTGTTAGGGAAGGAGTCCAGCACGGTGTCTGAAAAACATTATGAATACAGTTAGCAGTGCAATGATCAAAAGAGCTGTGATACACAGTAAAGGCAGCCCTTTGTCATCGAGACCAAGCTCACCTCCCTCCATAATGCGACCCCACAAACGTGGCCTCACAAAGGCAGGCTGTGAGGCAGCCAGGCAGAGGACAGGTGAGACACAGACTCCACTGGCCTCACAGCTGCTCTGGGGATTGTTTTTTCACAGAATACAGGCTTTAGCCGATTTTTTTTCCCCTGCTAAGAACTGGGAAAAAATGCAAACAACAAAAACAATTTCACAATGTAACAACAAATCTAACAAATGCAGTACATTGCTGCTCTTTTGTATTGCTCCTTTTTGACTTCTGCATTTTCTGAGGTGAAAACTCTGATTTCAGCTTGCTTTCAATGTCTTCTCATATAAATTATGTTAGCCATGTTGAAAAAAATATCAGATTGTGCATACAGGATTTTCTCCCAATAGCTTTAAGTATTCAAGTATTGCCTCAATTAATTAAATTTCACACACACTCTAAAAGCAGCAAAAAGTAGATTATGGAAATTGACATATTGAAATCAGTAGCCAATATCTGATAGCTAGATTCTCTTTTCTCTGTCCGAAACCCACCAGCCACCCTGTAGACAGCAAGCCCACTACCATTTCTAGTCTCATGGAACAAGAAACCTTTTGCTGTGATATAAATATCAAAATAGTGTTTTAAGAGACTCCTTCAAGTCAACAAAAGGAGGTAGCAAAGCCTACAGCAGACCCCTCATTCCTTGAAACATCTGTGCTTAGGCATTTTAAAAAAATGTTGATTGCAGAAATACTGCACATCTTTCTGCCTCCTTGGCCTCATTCTGTAGTGTTGATTTAAACTGTGCAGAATAATTCCAGCTCATTCCATAGCCTGGAACATTTGACAGCATCTTGAAGTAATAACTCATATTTTTTTCATTCCCTTAGTGTCAGATCTTTACAAAATTATTTGCTTCTTTTAGCATTTATGGATGATGGGATTCTGGTGCACTGAGAGTTCTTTGCTTGCCTCCTCAAAGAAGAAACAGAATGTACTTTTTACTTCTATTTGGCCTGGTGAATATTTTAAGTTGAAATTTCACTACACCCAATATCTTATCATGGACACAAAACTGTGCAGCATTTATTCATGGCTTCATAAATGAATTAAAGATCAGACTTTTCCTCGGGAGAGTCTCTACTTCCATTTTAAAACTCTACTTCCTTCAAAAAGGGACTTTGAAGAAGTGCTTCCTCAGAAATTCCCTCAGCAGCACAAACTACCATAAATGTATTACTATGATTGCCTGCTATGAGTTCTCAAATTTATCACCACCAAAACTAAGCTTTGCACTTGCCATTTAATGAATCTTTTTAATGTTTCGGTTAATCTGAGCTCTGGGGAAGTATTTAAGACAGAGCTGTATTCCTGAGACTTCACCTACCATTAGACTATCATTTCTGAAAAGCATTTAGTACTCTGCAGGCCCTAAAAGCTCCACTCCTCTTGCCACTTGTCAGCAAATTTCGGGTAGCAATGGCAGCCAGGCATAAAAGGTGTAGTAACTTACATGGAACAGAGGAGACAAAACACAAACTGCAAAAGGGAAGGACTCAGAGAAGCACACATTTTGTTGCTAAAATCAGATTAATAATGTAAGACCCTCCCACACTGCTACCTGCTCAAGGCATAAATGAAGACTGGATTACAGGAAGATTTATGGTGCTCAAAGGCTCAGTTCCATTATCTGCATATCATTTCATAGACTTTCATGGTTTTTGAGGTAAAACAACCATGACTTCACTTGTTTGTTCACCTGCAGAGTACAGGCCATAGAAAATTGATGTTTAATTTATACATCAAATCTACACACTTTTTTTTTTTTTTTTTAATATAAATCTAAATCTATGTGGCTCTAACTTTCTATGGTTGGTTTTTATTATTTCTGCTTCTGAAGGGTTAAGGACAGGTGACTAAATCATCTAATACTATACACATAGCAACCATGCTTTTGCATCCAATCTTCTCTTTCATCTGACCAACACAATAACCTGCTGCCTTGTGTTTCCAGTGTTACCTCTGCTTATTGACCTCAAAAAGAATTCACATTTCTCCAAATCTTCTGACTACTATACCTATGCAGAATGACACACTTGCTGTAGAAAAGCATGCTGTGACTCGTCAAATCTCGTCAAAAAGTGAAAGAGCATCTCATGGACTAATTCATTTTAACCTGTCACTCTGAGGAAACACACACAGTGAAATAGTTCCATCTCAGCAGATTTCCAAACCCCGAGCAAATATCTCTAAAAGAGAGATTTCCAAAGTCTAAAAAAAAACAATCTGAGATGTTACCTGCACACTGCAGCTAAATCTTTGTTGCAGTTACCTTTCCATTCAATAAATTTTCGCTGGTGGACATAATCCTTATGAAATTCTAAGCCTCTCAGGAAGTTATGAGACTTTCCCAGTAGTGGCCGCTTCGTTATAATGTCCTGAAACATTTCATACAACTTCCCCGACAAACAAGATGGAGGCTCAATGATAGTGGTATCCTCCTCAGGAGAATGTTTCTCTGAAATAGAAAAGGAATCATGAGAAAAAAATAGGTGTAATCTGTTCTGCTAGACACTTCTGCTGGCTAGCTGTTCTTCCCTCCACATTTCCTGCAATCTGTTGAAAAATGTATGCACACGATCATTTGAACACAGAGATATTTGGTTTTGTTTAAAACAAGCATGCCTTTTGCCTTTTACATACTTTCTTTGTACTTCTGTCTAAAAGCAAGAGCCACCCTTCTCATTTGTAGTCACAGGAGTCATTTAACAGATCATGAATAAATTCTAAATGAAAAACATTTGCAACTAGCATGAAATGTGCCTCTGGGAATTAAAAATAAAATAACTGTAAGAGGAAAACATCACAAGGTTATCATTGTGATACAGATGGAAATCATACCGGAAGGTCTAGAATGATGCAATACAACACATACCAGTTTAGGGAAAACATGTGAGAGATTATTCACAAACAGTTGCAATGGTGTATTTTCCTTATTCACCTCCTTAACAGAAGGCACAGTCTGGTCAAAAATGAATACTGATTTTGAAACCCTTACCTATATCTACCATATCTTTGGCCCATCGCTCCCAGAATTCATTTGAATTTGAGGACCAGTACAAGCCATCCAGCAAATTCCTGGTAAAGATGTTTGTCCAAAGACCTGCAAGTCAAATCACATGGGAAAAATACTGAACCAACACGTTAACTGTTGGCTATTTCAACTAATTGGTTTTTTTTAATTATAAGTATCAATGCTATGGATTGTTGGCCTGGTATGAATTTGTATGAATTGACCTTGTTATGTCATAGTTTAAGTAGAAGAGTTGAAGCTTAATAATGAAAACAATTCAGTGTTTTTCCTCAAGGGCTAACTACTCTCAGACCATTCACCACGCAGTGCAAAGTAACAAAATAAGAGGTATCACTTTAGGTCACCTTCTAGATAGCAGATCCGAGATTCTGGCAGCTTTTTCACTCGCCTTCCCATGAAGAACTCACTGTCAAAATATTCTGAACGAATGGAGGCTCCGTACTTTGGTATGGCCACTTCATAAGGAGAAAACTCAGCCCACTCTACAAAAGAATTGGCATATGCTACGTTTAATGTCCTACAGAATAAGGAAACAAAGCCTACCCCTTGGATACAGCTATCTAAAGTTTCATGAACTTTGCTGGTCTCGGCAGCTCAGTGCTATCACTAGTTTGTACTGCAAACTACACTGTCTAGTTCCATAAGAACTGAGAGTATTCACTCACTAGCTTTTTCCAACTCAGAAAGAGTCTAACATTAGCATTAAAAATGTAGACTCATATTGCTATATAAAGATTCTGGGAACCCACCTATCTCTCTAACTCAACATCATCAAACAATAAACAACTGTGATACAACCCTCAAGGAATGACCAGTATGAAAAATCTACTAAACCAAACATGTCAGTCTACATGATACAACAGAGAAGCTCGAAGACACATCAGCTCAGAATTAGAAAGCATCACAGTGTGGACATGGCCATGCAGTTTCCTGATTCAAGCTGCCCTGCGTAGGTATTACTGTGGAACAGCAGCCACAAACCTAAGTATTAAATGTTTGGGTTTTTTTAGTATCTGATTACTTCAATATTTCTTGCTGAATATAGTCTACAGGGTGTCATATCACACCCATATAGCAATCATACTCCACTCTACAGATTGTCTTTTAGATAATTGACAGTTATACTACAATCTCTACAAACAAAGGAACAATCACAGCCATTTCATAGATGTGGAACTGAAGCAAAAAAAAAAATCGTATGATTTGCTTTCACTCACCCACTCACTCACTCACTCACTCACTCACTCACTCACTCACTCACTCACTCACAGTGTCTTTGGCAAAACTAGAACTTCATCCCACAACTTCAGAAATGCCTTTTTTGTGCCAGAGAATGTTTTTCAGCAGATCTGCCTTTTCTAATCAACACCCAGCAGTTTGCAAGAAAGACAAATACTTCATTAAAAGATGAATCTTGAGTCAGGGCAAGCAACAGAGGCAATCCTTCCGTATTCCCCTGAGATATACACATTGCCACCCTATAAATTCTCTTTACTTCCTACTAAGAGTCAGAATAAACACTTGGAATACTTACCTCTAAATTTGAAAGTACTGAACTTTTCCTCTTTGACATTGAGGACTGCGTAGAAAGGCAATGGGTTTTGCCCATACTCCAATGCCCTGCGCTGGTCTGTGAGTTTGTACTTCCTTGGCTAATCAAAGGGATAAAAAAAAAATCACAGTGAACATGAGCTAAAACCACTGACACAATCTATATGAGCACTGATAGACAACAGATATTTTATTACTCAGAGGAGTCTGTGAGTCACATCTCCTTTAAAAAACTGCTTCTTTCTCGTTCTGAACTTTCCTTCGTGGTTCTCTTTTGGATATCTACTAACCTGCACATTAATATCTAAGCACATTGACTGTCTCTATCCCACAGATCTTTACAAAGATTCAGACTAATTATCACATGAGGGCAGTTTATTCTAATTCTGAAGTGCCCCAAAAGAAACAGACATTAAAAGATTTGGTTTTTCAGGGGTAAATTGTTCAGTTCTTTCTGAATATTTGCCCACTTAAATTATTATCTGTTTGGCACCTTGGTTCAGAGGCATTGACAAACCATCAGCTACTCCAGAAAGTCCTGGCTAGAGAATCCTTTGCCATTATTTACAAGTCATACAGGGATGCACCAGTCACTCTGGATTTGTTCCACACGTTGTAACATGCAATCAAAGTGGGAGATGCTACAGCAAATGAGTGGATATTTCCTAAATGCGTGGCAGGACCACATACCTGGTGGTGTGGTACATACCCGTCCATGTAAGAACATTTCCTGAACAAGTGACCACAGCGTTGTAAAAGATGAGACGTGTCCTGCTTTTGCCCTTTCAGCAAGTTCCTTGTGATAATACTTCAGATGCTCCATAGACATAAGGTTTAGCTTGCATTTTGTCACCTGTGCTTTTACTGCTCTGAGTGGCCCCTCCAGACTCTTTTGTGACCAATCTGCGTGTTCATACAGGTCTGCTAGGGTCCTACAGAACAAAAATGTGAGAAAATCATCTATTTCTTAGTAAGAAATACTGTATTTACCCTTGCGCTGTCATTAAAGCAGAGAAGTTATGTTAAAGAGCCGATGGTAAATAGCTTTACCAGGGAATTATGTTCACTTATTAACAGTGTGAGACTTTGAAAGAAATGCGGCGTCACAGACATTCCAAGAGTAAGTCACATCTTCTCTTACTCACCATGTTGAGCCAGAAGCCCCAGTGAGATAGGTAACACAGTCCAACAGATTTAGCTTCTGAAGAGCTAAGAGATGGCCAAACATAGCTGACATTGCTCTGAGGCCTCCGCCTGTTGCCATAACAGCTATTACTGGGACCTGCTCAAAACATAAATATCATCTTCAAAAACTTACTCACTTGCCTACTTGGAAAGTCTAATTACAGCTCTTATAATTTCCTCCTCAGACTTCATTGGAGGACACTGAAATTAAATCAGTGCTTAGACAGCCTTTACCAGTACCTTATTTTAATCAATCTCCAGATACTCAGAGAGTTCCCACAATCTCCAAGGTTGGATGAGATGCAGTGATTCTAAATCTCCTTGCTCCCTTTGCTCTTTATTGCAGTAATTTACAACAGATAACAATACAACTATAAATAATAAAACTGCAGCAAATGTAATTAAGAATGGATTCAAGGAAGTCATGAATAGGATTTAGAAAAAAATATATATTAATTAAAAGAATGATTCTTTGGACAGCATCCATTCAACAAATAAAACTACATCAAGAATATAAATGTTCACTTTAAATTTCACCCTGGATCTTGGCAACAGAATGTACTTCAGCTGGAATTTGTTAGAAAGGGCTCTTTCTCCATCCTGAAGAATTTCCACTTTTTGTGAATAGTGTTTGGAAAATGAAAAAAATATGTAATCCTAAAGAAGGAACATTACAATGATTTCATAAATTTCCACTTGAAGTCAATTTCAAATACTCCTGTTTTCCTATTTATTTTGGGTTTGCCTGGTTGTCTGTCATCTCACAAAATGTACCAATGTCTCATTTTGTGTCAACAGACTGCACCACATTGTTGGAAACTCTGGCCTTGAAGAAAGATATATTATAACTTTGGGAATTTGACCTATTGAAGAATATGAAAGCCTGAATAGCTAAGTTGAAATTTTAGATGAGTATGGGATATGCCACTCTGAGAACTTCAGTAATGTTGCCATTCAAATCAATGGGTTTGTCATCAGCATGCAAAAACTACTAGAAGGTTTGTGGGGAGTTGCATCAATCCTAATTCAATAGGCCCACACCCTACGCTTGGATTCCAGCTCACAGACCTCATGTTCATGTAGATCTCTTTCCAGATGAAAAACCCTTTTCAGGGCACTGGCAACCACTCTCTTCCTTTTTTGCAAGAATTCCTGCTCTTCTCGGCACAGATCGTATCCTAAGCGCACATCAAGTTTTTCTGTGCTGCAACACAAATAAATCCAGAGGCATTGGATTAGGATTGAAAATGCATATGAGTCTATTTTCAGCAACTGTAGTCTATTAAACACCATAAAGGATCATGATACACTGTTCAGATTTACAAGCAGAAACGCAGATTCCAGTGGCAAAGAAATCAACTGTTTTGCTTCTATATGGTCTCATTATTTTCTGATCTGATGGTTCAGTCTAAGTTTTACTGCCAGCTTAGAACAGCAAATAAGAAAGAAAGACTTCTGTGTATCCTTCAGTAGCATTGTTGGCTTAGTTCTTTCTATGTTTCCTTCACAGATCTAAGCAAAGGTTCATCTGAACCTAACAAGTTCTTTCAAGGGGATTTTACCATGGATCTCCATGGAAATGGTATGGTGAAAGACGTTTCCAAACAATTTTGTTTACATTTGTTTTCTGTCTCATTATTTTACTGTTTAATGTTTCATCTTCCCTAAATGATGCTTATTTTTATTCATATCACTGGTTCCACAAACATATTTTCTCAGGAATACTTATGCAGTTTGAGTAATGTACAGAATCTGGATGTTTTGCTCCAGTCAAATTTCCTTCTCCCTCTGCCTTTTCCTGCTTATCCCTTTGGAAGAAGTCTCCAATCTCAGTCTTTGGTTCTTTGAAGCAAAAGACATCTGACTAAGTTCCTTTAAAATTCTTTTTTTTTTTTTTTCAAGGTAGGGGGAGGAGGCATCTTAGCATGACTCTTGCCCCAGAGGCATCTAACTTTGCTCTGTTGTGGTGACTGTTTTATGATGACTTAACTGTTGACATATTTTGCCCCAAGTCTTTTGCATTCCTTGTATCTAAATGAAGGATTCTCTGCTCCAGAATACACTGTTCAAAGAACAATAAAACTTTCAAAGAAAAAAATAGTCTCCTTACCAGTCATTCAATTGGAGGTACAACTGCAGTGGCACATTCTGTAAAAAAAGAAATGTGAGCAGGAATGAAAATGACTGCGTGAAGAGAAAGTTTAGAAATCTAGATTTTCAGTGATTCCTTGAATGCCCCAGCACTACCACCATCTTGCACATAGTTTTTTGGGAAAAATTTGTCAGGAAAGCAAAAAAAAACCGAACATTTTCTAAAGAGGCAGAGGCAATGAAGGGGCTACTTGAACAGGCTGTGAACAGGACTCCCACCTCACTCCATGAACCAGCTTAATCCAGCAGCAGTATCACATACAGCTACCCTCTCATTCCTGAGTATGGAGAACAGTATCCAGCTACAGACAGCGTTACTAAGAGGAAATGCAAGTCACCATATGCTTTCAAAAAGCTAAGGAGGTACAAGAATCACCTGCTGTGGAACAAATGTTCATTCTCCCTTCTCTATAGGAGCAACGCTGCGAAGAAATTTTCCTCCTGCTTTTGCCTCTCATTTGCTGCAATGTGTGAGAAAAGATGTCTAGCTATTGTTTAGAGATTCACCAGTCCATACAGCTGTGTTACTTCTGCTTTTAAAGCAATTTAGAGTTGTACTTGTCCACCACTTATGATCAACATTGTACACATAGAGGAATGTGACAGAATTGTTCTTTGAAACTAAGAGTCAAGTTATCTTACTTTTTCCACCTAAAGCTTAGGTATACAGACTGAGCCAGCCACCTGGATTTCATACAGACAATAGAGACAGACTGGGACATCTCAAACTCTTGCTGCTGAACGTTCTCCTTTTACTGTGTAACGGTACTAGAGGTTGGTCTTTAAATTTAGACATATGCAACTAAAACTAGTCAGGGTGAAACCCCAATTATTGATTTTACTGTCAGAAAATTAATACTTCTGAGAAAACCAACCCTTTCTCACAGAAAACTTTTATTCACCCAGCCTAAAGGAATTCTTTTTCAAATGACATTGTGTCAAATACTGAGGGTTACTTTACCCATCTCTCCAAAAGGTCTCATAAATGGTGAGGCACTTACATGTCTTACAGGGAGGGTTACTTTCACTTTATGCCCAACAGGGAGAAATTTCAGTGGTACTGTTAAGGTGTCACTTAAATTGTTTGTGTCATCTTCCTTATCAGAAATTTTCTGCAAAAAACAAAAAAGGGTGTATTTTATGTACAAAATGAAAATAGTCCAGTTCCCCATTGTTTTGATGACAGTGAAAATAAGCAGGTAGTATGAAAATCAGTATGGTCCAGTACATGTTACCTGTAGCCTGGCTTTTAGAACTGGCTCCCAAGCCTTCACACAATGGAAGTAGAAGGTATTTGTGTCTTCTGTAGCTTTCTGTGTTCCTTCATGAGATGCAGGCACCGTAAGCACAAGATTCTTACCCTCTAGTGAAAACAGATTTGTTTAGAGAATGTTAGAGCTGTCCAGGCAAAACAGCTACCAAAGTTGGTATTTACTTCTTGTGGTAAATCCTCTGTAAATTCACACACTGGCAAGTCTCCCTGGTATGAGAATTGGTATTCCTGTATTTACCCAATAGCTTGAAGTGCTCCCAGTGTCAGCACTCTCTCATATTTCCACCAGCAAAATTTGCTGTGTCCAAACTTGATAGTTTCAAGGGAGAGACACCAGAGATGCAGAGTTAAACTAGAGACAAGTTCAGGAACTTTCACTGTACTAAATTTCATTGCCTTTAGGAGGTTATTAGTTGTCTCTGTATCCTGAAGTGCCTCTACCTGGACCTGAATGCTTATGATCTGGTTGCATCCTCACTTCAGAGAAATCTGCATACCTCGCAAATATTTCCTGCTTTCACTATGGTCCACTTGTACTTCCAAACACCAAACTTCACGGGACTGTAAAAGACAAAAGTGGAAATGTGTGAAAATAGTAAATGCTATGACTGTAGCAAAAAAATGAACCATCATGTAAGCAGTCATTAGGTATAATACAGAATCAAGCTAAACTGGGCTCAGTGCTAGAAGCAATCTAGCAGCAGAAGATTAAATTCATTATCCCAGGACAGTAGACCAATTGTAATGCTTTACAACTAGCTTGTCCATACAATGGTGCATTGCCAGAGGTGATTATACCTGCTCAAGTTATCCCCAAATCAAGAATCTTTGAACTACACTCTGCTGTCCAAACACAGCTACATACATATCTGGTAATTACTTAGAATAGGTGGAAGGAAACCACTTGATGATGAATTTCTGTGTATTGTGGTCATGATTAGTCTACAAGGCATCTTCTTGCTAGTCCAGATGTAGGGAGATCACGGATTTATTCCATCCTACTCTCCACCTGAGTCATTCCAGTTCACCTTTAATAACTCATGCCAGGACAGTTTTCCAACAACACATGCCAATCATTACAGCTCTCATACCTCACACAGAAAATGAGGGGCAAAGAACAGAATAGGTGTTATTTTACCACAGGTGTATTAAAGGCTAGCATCTGGAAATCACATGTAGGTTTGGAGTTGTTGGGATGAGGTACTTTGTACTCTTTAGCTGCTTGGCCAGCCTGAGGAGATAGGTAATGGACCACATGCTGACATATCACAAGAGGACTCTGTTTCAACAACTTAAATAGCTCTTTATTAAAAAGCGTGTGTCCCAAAAAGCTGTTAGATTAGATAATCTCTGAGTTATTGGAGTCTTCTGTAGACTCATAGCTGTCAAAACCTTTGGTTTTCCTGCCAAATGCCATATTGCATCATCTGAAACACAATATTTCACTTTGCCAACAAAAATGGATTCTGTAACATTAGCAAACTGTGACTGGTCAAAATACTGATACTTGAGGACTTCAAGAAACAGTTTCTATTCCATGAGGAGGGAAACGTAACAAATGGAAACTGTCCCATATTTGTAATATATAATGTAGACCATGCTCTATTCAATTATGTTTTCCCTGTAAAATATCAGATGGCTGAGGGAAAAGGAGAGAAAGGGAGAAGATTAAGAGAAGATAGAGGAAAAGTAACGCCAAGCTAAATTCAAACATGAATCTTACCACTAGGACATCGTTGGTAATGACATACTCTGGAGGGCCAGGACTAAAAAGAAGCAAAAAAGAAACAATTTGTGAGAATCCACTATTTTTAATAGCAGTTGCATTACTTCCTGTGTAAAACTGAATATAGTTACATTCGTGCCATTCTTTACTTCCTGAAAGGTGCACTATGTGACCATCTGCTAAACACATGAGCCAAAACGCAGTACCTAACAGAAGAGCCCATAAAAATATCAGTTCTTAAAACTACAAGAAAAAAAGGTGAACTCGTCTAATTTGGAATCATGTACTGCCCTTACCAAATGGCCACATGGCTTGGGGAAAAGCAAAGATGACTAATAATGTACTCTCCAAATACTTTTTAGGAAAGACATCTTTGACTGATCTAGACAACAATTTACAACTGGTCCCAGAGAAAGGCAAATTAGAATTGGCTCCCATTGGGCTATAGGTACGACTGGAAAAACACAAAGGTAAGTAACAAAAACTTTGTCCCTAACATCTCACCTTGCAAGACCCAGATCTGTCACTGAATGGTTGGAGTTACTCATGGAATTAAATAACTATAGAGTCTACTAACAGAACCTCTCATTACAGCTAATATTCCCATGGCACCAAGTTGCACACATTCCTAAGTGCTTTCATAGATCTGAAAGGACCACTGAAGTTATGCAGTACGTGATCTTTGACCATCTACAAAGCCGAGGATATTTTACAAAGCAGCACATCCAGCTCTCTAACTTCTGCAGAATGCATTTATCTTCAAATAACTTGGTTTCACTTCCAAAAATGGAGAATTCCCTACACCTCTAGTAACTTGAGCTGTGAAAAATCTTCCATTTATTTCTAGTCTGCATTTGCTCAGTCCAACTTCTAAGAACTGCTTCTTACTCTGAACTTCAATCTGGTTGAGACTGACTCCACACGTGCAGGAGATACTTACACTAGCTCTTAAGGTGTCCCTCATAAAAGAATAGATTTTCTGAGTGTTTTCCAACTCACAGCTGCCTGTTCTAATCATGCATTTAGTCAGTTTTAAATGGACTACATTACTTCCAAAAGCATTTAAAAGAGAGAGAAGTTTATCTTATTGAATTTGTTCTCCTACAATGTTGATTATCACTTTGAAGAAGGGGGGATTGTAATTGTATTAATTGCAGATTGCATGTTTTTGTAGTTTAACTAAGCTATCACCTAATGATCTATCTAATGCTATCTACACCACTCCACGTACATTTTGTTTTCTGGTCTTTTAGAAACATCACGGTGTTCATGGCATTATTAAATTAGTGATAATAGCTGTTACAGTGTTATGTCTTGTATGCATCTCACGTGCAAGTTATTGAATCCTGCCAATGTTACTGCATTACAATAATCAGGATATAAGATAAGATTTGTATACAATACACTAAAAGACAGAATTTGCTGGGGAAGTTAAGGCAAAACAAACAAACAAAAAAATCAGAACAGTAACTCACTGCTGGGAAGAAGAGCTGCAAGAATTTCTGCTTTCTTATTACACTGCCTGGCAGATACATGCCTTTTAGCTTTGTAATTTTACTCACATTTTTTCCATCCAGAATTCCACTTCCAAACTTTCCCATTTCTTAATGCACCTCTCTTTCTAAAAATGAAAGAGTAAAATAAACACAGATTATTGGAGACCGCAAGAGTTTACTGGTAGAGACACCCAAAATCATAGAACAATTTTGGTGGGAAGGATCTTCAAAGCCATCCAGTCCCAATGCCATGCTCAGGATCCCCATCAAACCTGGCCTTCAGAACGCCTCCAGAGATAAGCCATTCACAAGAAACTTGAAAAGCATTTCAGTATCATGTCTGATGTCTCTTCTGTTAACATTACCAAATAATCTGTATGTCACTTCTTTCCAAAGCTGAGATTGCAGGAAATGCATGTAAGATTAATACTCTACCACTGTGGGATATGTAGAACTATACAATTTACAAAGACCTAGAGTGGAAAAGCTTGGATAAAACAGAAATAAAATGAATTTCTGCGAAGATGGTCTGCCCAGCATAAAAGCGTTGACACTCAATAACAAACGTGACAAATTCTGCTGTCATTTCCATTTAAATTACATTCATGTTGAATCCAGCAGAGATGAAGGGGAGAAGAACACTCCCAACCAAGGAGGTTATTGAATCATTAACATTTCCCAGTGATTCAGTGAGTGGCTGAGAAGTGCATTCCACCAGCCTGCAGAGTCATGGCGGGGAATCCCTGTTAAGAGCTCTCAGCATTCAGGAAGTAGCTGAAGCTCTGGTATGGACTGTCTCTTTACTATTGGAAGTGTACAGCAGTACCTCAGCCATAACTCACAGAAGCCCAGGAACTGTCACAGAACTATCTCAGTTTTGTTCACTGGACAACTCTCTTCCTTATTAAAAAATACTAGTAGGACAGGCATCCCTTACCTATTGGCTATGAAAACCTCAATAAACAGAAGAAATCCAATATGAACATTAACAGGAAAAGCCTGAAAGAATCATTAATTCAAGTGGTTAGTTGATTATCTTCAAGTTTTTAATAAGAAGTCATCAAGGGGAAATGTTCTCTAAGCATAGGAAACGTGAAACAAAGCCAAAAAGTAAGAAAGTTGTTTGAGGGATTATAAATTATGAAAGTGACTGTATTTACAGATGCTAGCTATTAACATCTATTTCGCCTGCACAGAGATGGTGGCACAGTATAGAACACACTTCATTTTCTGAATCTGTGAAAACAGATTAATAAAATCACAAGAATCTACCACAATGATAACTGACTTGAGATATTGATGATGCAGACCCAAATTCTATCTAACACAAAAGCCAACATGGAAAGTAAATAATTCCATGTATTTTCAGACCTTACCTCTGATTTCAAAGCAAACTTCTCACGGACTCTTTCTCCAGGTCTGACTCTAGCAATATTAAAAAGAACTGTGAACTGCATGTCATCTTTGGTGAGTGGATCTTCGTCACACACCGCCAATTCTAAAATGTTCTGGTAGTAGAAGAAAATAAATACGAACTCTTATTGACCCGCTGTTTTCAGGAAAAAATATAAATAAAATGATTACAGACTTGTAGCTGATTGACTAGCACAGTGGTATGAATAATGGAACCTGTGCTTTCAGGAGTCTGGTAATGTGGAACTGAATCATTAAAATCCAGCCCTGGGAAATATATCATGGAGTAGAAGACAACAGCCATCAGCAATCTCACTATTCCAAGACAGAGATGTTTGGTGCTCTGCACCACTTCTGATAACCTACCCAAAGAATGCACTTATTAAGTTTGTTCATCCTCAAAGTTCTATTAACTATGCAGCAACTCCTCTATCCTTCCATTAAAACCAGCAGATGAAATACTCATTGCACTCTAACCATTCAAAATAGCTCAGAGATGAGACATGCTACAGCAGTACTTACATCCCTCAGGAGACAACATAGGGAATCCAGACTAGCTCAGATATAGGAATTTAAATCACAGATGTCTACAACTTGTTGAGGGGAATGCTACTCTGTGTATCTGCTGTTTTGTGCTAACAAATCAGGTGGAAATTCCATCTCATAAGCGATGTCTTAAGTTATTTAGCACATTTGATCAACGAGGAGTCAATTGTGGACTCCCAGCAATTCAAAATTGTAAAATTCCCATTTTTTTTTTAAATACCTCAACTTCTCTCTGGATCCTAAAGTAGAAAGTCTCATTCCAGACAGGGTTGTCCGAATTCTTGATAGTTTTGGTCTGAAGCTTTTCATTTGAAGCAGATGGCAGCCACAAGCGCACATAGCAGTCTGATGCAGTCACTGCAGCAGAAAAATAAAATAAAATCCAGACGCCAATATTATAGATGGGCAAGGCCATGATTCTGGGGAATAATAAATACTTTAAAAAAAAATAATAATAATAAATAAAGAGATCACTGGTTGGAAGCAACCAAGGGTCTTGGTATACAAACTGATTTCTGGGTAGCTACAAATGGCAAATATCACATGCACGCATGCACACACAAGATACACTGAGAGCAGTGTTTCTCATGTGAAGAGAAAGAAGTAGAAAAGAGCCCATTGACCATTCATCAGGCATATTCCCTACCATTCCAGTCAATTGTGTTTAAAAGAAGTTTAACTGAAACTAATGCTAGTTCCAAAAAGGACAATTAGGATGGTTACAGGAAAGGAAAACACATATTATAGACAAGATGACATGAGACTGGCTTGCTCAGTTTCATAACGCAAACACGGGGGGACATGACTGCTGTCTAGAAGGGTTAGCTACTGAGGAACATCTGTTGCAGTTACAGGCCACTGTGGGCTGAAAAACAGGTTGGAAATCTTCTCAATTCCAGCCTAAACCCATTTCTTATGGTTAGTGTGGTCAGTGTCTGGAGCAGCTGTCCTTTGGGAAAAGCAAGGTCGGAAAACACATTTACTTTGTGGAGCTTGACAGCGGTGTGAAAAGAAATCTCCAAGTTGATGTCTTTCAGAGCTGGAGTCTGGACTTGACTGAAGACGTCTACTGCAGCCCGAGAGGCCTAAATACTTCAGGCTGGTATCAAGCAGTGAATAACAATGCCCCGCAAGGTTTTGGCAGGAAAGTGGAACTGTCCCTTCAATAGAGTAGACAGAACAGGTCATTGAGACTCAAATACAGGCCTTGTCACTATGGCCATTCTGGTGTCCACCTCTGGACATAATACCTGAAGTACAGTGAGAGTATAAGAAAAGGCAGCTTGAGGTCTTTTTGCTGGCTGAGGAGCACATAGAAGACTGCAAAAAATGACAGGTGAATGGCTGATCCATCAGACACCCTGAGAATGAGCCATAGGAGGCTATAAGAGTGAGATAAGAAGTTAAAGAAAGTGGAATAAAAAAGTAGACAGAAAAGTCTGTTTTGCCTGCACATTCAGAATGTGGTTAGGGCAGGGTCTACACAGGTTCTCCTTAGTCAAAAACTTAGGAACATTATTTAACATGAAACACCCCAGATGACCCTCTTTAGAAGGTCTGAAATTCCCTAATTGACTTTTGACTGTAAGAAAATGTATAGGCTGCAGTTCCCTCACATGGTCTACTTTCCCTTACTGGTTCAGAAAGTTCAGCTGGGAGTCTTGGATTTTACAGTTTCTCTGAAATGCCAATAGATCTGGCCTCTAAACTAATGATACCTCAGGCATTTGATCTAATTACAGCCCTGATGTTAGTATTTCTATTGCTCTGCTTTATGCGTATATGTTATTTGTATACCTTCAGAACTTAGGAACATTGCTCACTGTGTAAACTCTAGAGGTGACTAAAAACACAAGCAAACCACAACTCACATAGGTCTCTTGACTTGATGTTCCTGGCTTGTATGATTCTTACAGAAAGCATGTAGATGGGACAAATCTTCATCTGCAGAGAAAACAAATGCAATGAGTTTTGTCAGCTCGTCCTACAGAAATCATACGTATTTTGAACCGTACAGAGGACTGTCTGTCCTTGCTGTTTGCCTGTTTGAAGTGAGGAGGTCACCTTTCAGTGGAAGCATGCCATGCTAAGATGAAAGCACGATTACCCACTATTTGATGATTATCTGCAGACTATTTGCTGAGTAGCTTGAATAAATGAAGACAGAGAAAGAAAGAAGACAGCAGCTCATATAACGCTATAGGAAGCTCCTGTAGTCACCCAAAAATGTCCCTTTACAAACAATCTGGTATATACATGGTTGTGGTGATAACTGTTCTGCCAACCCGCAGAGGAACTTATGCCACAGCTGGGTCAAAACTGGGCCTTTGGAAGGCAACACTAGGAACTCACAGCTGCCTGCCTGGGTCTGGGCTCAGTACTGATTCTGGCTCTAGATATGGCAGTTACCAACCATATTTAAAAGCTTCCAATCTCACATCCCAAGTAGGACTAGATTTTCATTATGTTTATAAGTAGGCCAAGTTCAGCAATAGGCATCTAGTGGACTGCATTACAGGCTCTAAGTGGACTACATGCCCAGCAGAAGCCCTTCAGATGAAGGAACAATAGTGCCCTGATTTACAGGTGTAATATCACAGAATCCTACATCATTAGGTATCTTGAATTCATCTAATGGAAATGTGACCAGTCCTCTTTCAGATATGAGATTTATTCCTATCAGAAACAAGATAGCAGTGCAATGTTTATTTCAAGTTACTTGTTCCAAACTCTCATGAGTCAAGCTTCCCAGCTACTCAAAAAATACTCAGTGCTTTCAAAAAATGTTTCAGTAAGCCTGAATGAACACACATATGCAGATGCAATAAACTTAATTAAAGGAAAATATTTCCGTTTTTTTTAGCTCTCCGAATTGGAACATTTAAATTTTATTTTCAAGCAAAAATAACAAACAGTCTCTCTCTCTCATTAACAAATTAGAACAGGGACAAATCATGCTAAAAACACTCCATTAGCTTTCATGGTACTTTAAACTACAGACTGATTGAAACAAGACATCTGTTTGTCTAAACCAGAGTATCCCACTACACTGCAACAATATAAATATATTTTTTTTAAAGTAGCACCATGATTAATTTTCTTGACACTGAAATGATTAACTTCAGACACACCAGGAGATGAGGAAGGGAGAACTTCTCTAGAAATAGTCATTATACTAAATTTGAAACTCCTTTTAAATGGGGTGGAAAATACTGGACTTTTTTTTTTTTTTTAAATCAGAAATGAAAATTGCCTTCATTCAGTTTAATTCAACATTTTTTAGAGGCAAATAGCATCATATGAAATGGACACAATTTTAACTGTAAATTAGCACACTCAGATAAGGCTTTATATTAAATTTTACAAAGTCTATTTTTTTAAATTCAGGTTGATATTCAAGAGTCATCTAAACAGAAAAATGCTGTTGGTAAACCAGTGCAAAATCACAAATTACTGTCTCTTGGACCTTAATGGTTGATTGAAACACCTTCTGTATAGAAATGCAAAGCACATTTGTTTTTGTGGAACAAAAACCATTCCTATTATGTTTTCTTCCAGTTTGAAACTGAAATATTTTGAACCTTACAAGTTTAACACGTTATGGACATTTCAAGTTCCAGTGAGGACAATTCTAAACTATTCTTGTAGCCCACTGAAAGAATTAGACTTTAATTTTCCTACGCAAATAGCTATTAAACATAGAAGTACCGACTGGAACACTCAGCATTCCTAGTGGGTTTCATTAACATGAAATATTGGATTATGTAGCCAATTACAGGGCTGACTGTTTTTAATTAATATGTTAATTCTGTGCTGTTTTGTAATCAACTTCCCCTTGCTCAATGGAAGCCCAAATCATTCTCAGATTTCGCCTTCACTGGAAAAATAGATGCTGGTATATAATTTTCTCTGAACCTTACATGATCAAAATTTCCTAATTTCTTACAAAAAGATTCATCTGCAGCTCATTATCAGCTACTCTTAGTTGTGATAGGTGTCATGCTTTTGCATCTTCTCCCACTACAGCCAGAAAGCTTCATACCTCCTCTCTTCCTCTTTCAGCAGCAAGCACTTCATTTAATGAAAAATCATCTAAGGTGACTAAATTTCTTCAGATTTGGTGCAGCATAGCCCTTGCATTGTTGCAGGGAAGAGATAAACGGGTTCAGATGGGTAAAGATGGCTGTAACAAATCCTACAGACTGCGAATTCCCATGGAAAGCAAGAAGAACATCCTGTTCCCAAGGCTGCAGTTTCTGCAGATTGTGGTAGCCACTGAGAATTGAGCTAATTCTCTTTTTCATCAGAAAAAGGCTGAGCTCATTTCCCTTTATAACAGTCCAGAGTAGCCCAGCAGGGGTCTGATTTAGATGGGCCAAAATAACACCCTTGTTCAAAAGTGCTAGTGCTCTAAAACACCTTTTCATTTGCTGTTTTCATAACTTGAAAAGCAAAGTGCAATATTGCTATTAATACGAATTGCTAAGCATGAGTGTTATATCCAGACAGCTCTTCTGGAGTTATTTACTTGCAGTTCCACTGATCTTGTTCCTTACTTTCTTGTGAGAACCAGAGTTTCCTGTATAGGCTCACAGAGACCAACATAATGCTTCTGGAAACATGCAGTGTCAAATGTAGTCTTCATTGAGGCACATCACTCTATTTTTGCCTAGAAATACAACCATCCTTATTTGCTGGAAAATTAATAGTGCTACGTTGAGGCCAACAACAGAGTGCAGGACTCAGCTGCCTGTGTACGTCTGCATCCTAGACAACGACACTCCAGACCAACAAATAGTGCCATGTCCAAATTCCCAAAGAGTATTTAAACAAAATGCATTGAAAAATCTTTTCATTTGATAGCACTTAGCATTAAATTACATTTCTGTACTCTTAGAGAAAGTTTTCAAGGGACCATTTCAAGTCTAAAATAGAGAAAACCCAAGCAGATAAAACTAGCTACAATTGTGTAAAACCCTAAGCAAGCTGAAAATTCACATCTGTTTCCAGCCTTGCAGTGATGATTGTAATAACACATTGGCTGGCCTACTGTCTGGCTTCCAGGGAATAGTCATATGCCTGTCAGCTTCAGGAGGACACATAATTAGCCTTCTCTACTGTTTACAGGCAGTTAGTCACTTCAGGGTTTCATCCCAAAAAGAGAACTTTGAGAATATATGAGCTTCTCAAAGCTCATTAATAATGAAAAGCCTACTGAGACAGTTTTCAGATGGCAATGAAAGAAGCAAAACCTACCAACAGCTCACATCCTTGATTTCACTCCTTATTGCCCCACCATGCTGCTCCCAGAACAAGGCCTCATTCACTAGTAAATTATTCTTCTAGGAGAATAGTTTCTGTAGAACTTGACAACCTGGGAAACTCCTCCCATCACCATTGGTTTGTACATGTTGGAAGTCTAACTGGAATCTCAGTGTTGCACTTCCCCAACTCCAAATCTAAGCAGTTAACAAAGTAGAGTTACCACCATGCGATACCAACAGGTTATATGAAGAGTTTTATAAGAAAAGTTTGTACCCTGTCTTTTGGCGTCCTCTGAATAAGTTTTAGAGTTTTCTCTCAGTTTTGTCAGTGTTTTTTAGGCGCAAATCATTACTTCTTTCCATGCATTATTTTTTCTCTCTCCAGTGGCATTCTACAAGCAGTGCAATATCTTATTAATGGATCTCACACCATCTATGATCATTTGGCATATTCTGATCATTTCTTTTATCTTAGATACCGAGGGTTTACTTCAACTACAGTTTGGAGGTAGTTTATTAAATTAAGGGTAAAATGAAAAACTTAAAAAAAAAAACAACAACCCACAACACTTTTTGACCTTCTCTTGATCAGCCTGATTCCAAAGCACTCTCCCACACAGATTCTTTAATACATAACGTGGGCTGAGGGCATTGGAAGTTGAACTTTTAGAAAGAAAATCTAATTTTGTTTATGAATATTTATTGTAATATCATGTTTTCAGTGATGGATTGTTTCAAGAGTCACAGTAGGTTTGGGATGGACCATCCTTATACTCTACCAGTCTTCTCTTTTCCTGTATGGGTGACTGCCTCAGGGATTTGTACTGTTTCTGAGTATCTTATAGAAAAAAAAATATTCCATGGTTCAAAAAAAAACTAGAGTGATAACTCTTGTCTGAGCAGAAAATACACCCTTATGAAAACCAAGAGTTTTCTCAGAAAGCTGCAAATTAATACTGTCCTCTACTTCTGTGCAAATTCTGTATTTTTAAATAGTAAAAAATTAACTTGGAGATTTTCAGTAGGCCCCTCTAAATAGTATGAAGTATCCATGCTTTCCAGACAACTTGCTTTTATAATCTAAAAGAAAAAGAAGAAAATAAAAAGAACACAAAACCTGATTTCTGTCTCTATTTATTCAATTAAACATACTGAAAAAACACATTTTCCTGACAGAATGTCACAGCTCCTGCAGTACTGAAAGAATATTCTTCTGTGGGAGCAAAAACCTTCTGACCTGAAGCTATGCCTGAACTCTATATTTTGTCCATATTGCCCATAAAGTGGGAAAATATCAGACAATAGCAGCTGTAGCATTAGGTTCAAATGCAAGAACTTCCTCTGTAATAGAGATTTTTCAGATAAAATTTAATCTGTGCTATCCACCCATCTATCAAATTCAGTGTTACCTTAATAGATTCAAGAGATACTTTAAATGGATGGATGATACTTAGTTATAAGATGGATACATACCTCTGGATCTAACAGGTAGGTAAACAGATTAAGTACAAATTTTATCAAAATAGTACTTTACATATATAATTCATATTCTTTGTCCTGAGCACCCAGCATCCGACTATTTTTAACCCTTCATAAAGTCTATCAATTTAAGCTACCAGCAGCTGAATCTTTTAACTTCACTTTCAATTATGTCTGTGGCAAAGAACAGTAAATATTCTTAGATGTTAAAGATGAAGGATTCTCGATAAGCCATAACACATAACACATAATATAGTTTCCCATACATTTAAACCCTGGGAATGGCCATATTTCTTTTTGTTACTGTAAATTTTGACAGAGACTTTGAGACATAAAGAATGTTTAATTTGTACATAATTCAGACACGGCATCAATTACTTTTTAAAGATTCACATGAGAACATGGCCCAGAGCCAATAATCCTGTTGATTTATACTGAAAGCTATCAGCTGAAATCTCTGAATGGAACTCACATTGGAAAACTCAAGTCGAAACAAGAAATATCTCCCCTCGAATCACAGACACTGTAAACATTACATGAAAGACAGCTAAATCAGCCAAATGGCTCATTAGAACTCCCCCCTGCAGCTAAACACAAATCGTGCTTTGTTGCTAGAAAAAGCTGTTGTTTTTTTTAGCTTGGGCAAGCAACGAACATGTGCGATCCTGAGAAAAGCATGCAGTAGGACTAAGGCACTTTCGTTTTGCATGAAGTAAACTCAAGGCCAGCCCTGCTCCACCCTGGTGTTCATTCCCACATGTACACCTTACGACAAAAGGGCCACGTTTTACTGCATTTTCATTGAATGTAGCTCACACGTCAGTTAGGGCAAGGGAAAAGGGAAAACTGCAAACTTGCAAAGTTCAAGAGGACCCTGCTATATCAAACCAGCAGCATCTCAACAGACACACAGAAGAGCGAGTTCACTTATGAGAGCAAGAGCCAGCTGTTCCCAGAAGCAAGGCGTCAGGCCAAAGCAAAGACAGGAGCTGCAATTCTCTTACCTTGGCTGGTGGGCTTCCCATAGCACACAAGATGGCGACAGCAACAGAAAACCCAATTTGGATAACAGATCTGTCAGCTGACAAACACACTCACGGCTTGTTGTTGCTGCTGAAATAACCTGAAGGACACATATAATTTATACAGGCGCTGAGCTCCACCCTCTGCCTCCTGTGTATGGGGAAGAGATTCTGCCTACGTCTGAGGGACACATCTACAATGTCAGAGGTGAGAGGAAAGCTGCAGTTATCACATCTCTGCCTGTCACTTTACGCCTCTTACCTTTTGTTATTATCTCAAGACAATCCTTCCTGGCTTATGGGTGAATTCTGCCATGTTCAGAAAGTCTCCCTTCACTTTCCATCTCTTCCTTCTAGTCAGTAGATGAATTGTCTGTATCTGTATCTTAAGTTCTTCCACAGAATAATCGAACAATCTAGAAAAAAAAAATATATATATATATAAAAATAAATTTTTGATTTTTTGAAAATGAAGGGAGGAGACTGCCAGATCATATCTATTGAAATTGGTAGCGTGAAAAGGCCATTTGTGAAGGTAAGGTCCTTTTCAATCCTTTCTACATCTGAGACTTGTTTTAATATATTACTGGGAACTGTACTACACACCTGTAAATCAAGCCTCCATATTTCATTACTTGCTGCATGATAACCCAGCACAGAGATGTTGGTGAAATTGGGATAAACATTGGTAGGGAAAGCTGTATACATCTTCTGGGCTTTTTCCCTTTACACACTTCCTCTAAGAAGAGAGTGTCAAGTTTGTATCTCCCAGTTTCCCCCTGCCAGTGGTGGATCTCAAGGCATCCTTTGGAGAGGCCATGGATACAGTTTCCTCCACCTCTTCTGTGCCATCTGTGGGCTGATGGTAGGCAACTGTGGGCTGCCTGTCAGAACACTGCTCCAGGCAATCAGTTCTGCCTGTGCTTTAATCCACATGTACAATTTCATGGTGGCTGTTGTGCAGAGCCAAGCTTGGAAAGGGCCTGGGAGCCATCATAAACTTGCAATAAATATGTGCTCACATGAGCACAGTAATATCAATCACAGGAAGAAATAGGATCAAGCTTCAGCAGACACCTAATATTGATGGAAGGTGAGAGAGTCAAAAGCTAATTTTCAAAAATTGTAGGTAGTTTGGCAAAACCAAAAACAAAAAAGAAGTGTAACCTGAAGAACTGCTTAGGAAAAATAGGCTTACCTGAAATTTTTGGCTGTATTTTTTTTTTTCTTACATGCTGTCAATCATGTTTAGGCCACTTTACAGGACACTTCCCACAAAAACAAACAAACAAACAAAAAACCAAAACATTTTATTCAAGTGATCCTGGGTTTATGCAAGTCATAATAAAGAACTCAGATTTACATTTCAAGGAGACTCTGTGACTGACAATGCAGCCACTATGCTACAGGATGGATGCAGGATTAGCCAAGTAGCAGGACAGAGCCTAAAGACTTAGGCTGCCACCTCTATAATACTAAAAAGAAAGATATCTGAAATAAAGATCTGCTGTAAAATAGAGGAAATCAAAAGGCATCTACAAAAGCCCTAGAAAAGATAGAAAGAATTGCGAACTTGCTATTCTGTTAAAAATCTGTTATCCAGAATGGAGTTTTGGTTTTCCTCCTCCATAGTGCTGTTGCAGCTTTGATCACAGTTTCTACTGCTGTAGCTGAATTGAGAGACCAAAATAGTAGGCTGACAAATTCACCTCCTAAAGAGAAGGCAAATGGAAAAACAGCCAGAGAAAAGTGAACTCCATTCAAAGAGGGGTATGTCTGCCTGGAAACGGAGCAACACATTCAAAACAGAACAGCTGCAGCAGGGAGACCCAGGCCTTTATGGAACAAGAAAGAAGAAAAAAAGCTCTTAAATGTCTTCCAGTCAAGGTGTAGAAGTTATTTTGGAGAGCTATGGAATTAATTTTTCCAATAGCCCCTCCAAGAAATTAATGTTTCCAGTAAATCAAAATGGCCAAAATACATAAAACATTTGTGTTGCTTGTCAACAAGCACACTGACAAGCACCACATCCATTCCCTCCTGGTGACAGGGGAGATGGGATACATGATGTCAGGCCTCACTACGGATATACAAAAAATGTACAGGATGGGGAAAGTAAGACAAAGAAATTCAAGTGCATAAAGAAGGAAAAATAAATCTAAAAGCTTAAATCCAAAATAGAGAGGGCATACAGCAGAATGCATGAAGTGAATTAACTGAATAATAGGCAGTATCTTCAGGGGGGGAGGTAGAAAGCCCTCTCCCTCCCTTTTTGCTATAGGTGGGAACAGTCATGGCAGGATTATGTCATTGGAGTTGATAGATGTAGAGAATATGTTTTATCTGTGGTTATATTTTATAAAATGCTGCTCTGGACACAAAGAGAAGAGAGATTCTAGAAAGACTTTACACGTTAATTAAGTTGATATCATCCTACTTTTACAGCTGAATCTCAATGCTTTTCTGAATTAATACTAAGAAAGTACTTGGAAATAAGCCAAGAGAATTAAAAACAGAAACAGCCATACCAAATCACACTTGAGTTGAAATGCTTCATACAGAAACTGCTGGCAATCTCAAACGAGAGATCTTAAGAAATAGAATCCCAATGGAAGGAACGCACACCTAAGCTCTTCCCAGTATGCAAGAAACAAATGGTAATTAATATGATGTTTGGCTCCACGTAAGTTACCCAGTGTGCTGCTCACTAACAACCTTTGTACGAAGCTACTCACAGGCACAAGCTAAGCTGTCAGAAACCAAGCTGCAAAATGACAGGAATTGAAAATGGCTGTGATTTGGACCATCCTGTTGGCGTAAACTTAAAAGGTGAGGCAGAGCTTATAAACGGTACTGAAGGCCCATGGAGCAGTTTCTATGATTTATCCCAGCAGTGGCACCAGCATAGCAAAATTTCACATGAGAATGTTTCTAGAACTGATGGACAAGAAGTACCCCCAGTGAAACACTCGGTCCTTTGATGCTCCATCTTCACAGCTTATCAAGCAAGTATGGCAATTACCGAGAACCCCTCTTATAAAAATAAATCATGATTTTGCTTGAAATCATTTTTTCATCTCATGAAATCTGCTAAGTAGAGATAAGTGTGGATCTTCTTAGAGGTAGACGCTGCCACATTGCTGACAAGATGGAGGTGGAAGATGAGGTAGCTTTGCGGAGACTTCTTGTTGCACACGACAGTAGCAATGTGAGATGGCAGCCACTTTCTCCGTGCCTCATAAATCAGTTCCTGCCTTGCTCAGCTCAGAGGCTGGGTTAGGAAAATTACAGTAATTTGAGTAAGTAATAGTCTATGTTCAAATTCAAATAATTTTTTGTCAAAGTATTTTCTCTATCTCGTCTACAAAATTATAATAAATAATTTGCACCAAAAAAAATAGCATTAAACTATATCTCCATTTTTCAATTAAACAATGCCATGTGAAATTAGAGCATATAAAAAAGCTTCAGAAATGTCAGACTGTCAGACCTTTCAAGACTGAAGTATTTCATTTTGAAATAAAAGCCTTCTAAGTTTCACTGCTCCCTCCACACACAATTCTGGTTGAGCAAAATCCACATCTAATTTGAAATTATTTCACACCTCTGAATATACTGCAAACATCATTTACATCACACCTAATGTTAATTAAAACAAAACACTACATTATCTCTCTCTGAGCAGCCGTCAGGTGATAGCAGCATTACTAAGTTAATAGTCTTTTTGGCTATCAAGATCCAAACCCTTTTCAGAAAAGTAAAAGGTGTCATATTCTCTTACCTATCTCATGAACCACTGCAATCTTTAAGATATCATACAGTAAAATCAATATCTCTGGCTCTTTATCTATGTCTTTATCCTGACCAGGGTAAGAAAGCTAATAATTTCCTTAGATATTTTGCAGGTGTGGGTGTAAATATGATGAGATGGTGATCTCTGTAGCTTCAAGATGGGAGGAAATTGCTTATTATTTATCTGGGGCTATCTGAGGTCTGGAGTGCTGTCTTTCCAAGATGCGTCAATGTAAAACCACACATTGAAATCCACTGTGTTTAAGTTCAGAAATTGTTCTTTTGTTCTAAACCAAGTGATTGCAGAGCATCTAATTGAAATAATTGAGTAAGATACCTCAGTGTAATTCCACTCAAGCCAGTTTCTGAGACCTTTATCTTCAGATCTTATTCAAATAGTCTGACACTGATGTCAGTACAAAATTGCTTCAGTAAAGACCTTTGAAGAGTTAGGTAAGCATTACACTTCACCACTTGGCTGACAGGAAGAATTGACTTATGTTTAAGGCATTTCATTTCAAACTATCAAAGGAAGAGTATCTTTCTTAGCTGCCACTAACCCCTTGTATTTTTTGAATAATCATCTTTTCAGAATCATGAAATTACCATTTGTTGTATCCTACTGTTTTTCGGTTTAAGTGACTACAAATTCGTTGGGGCAAGATCTACTAAGGCAATGTTTGCTACTCAATGTTATTATACAGACCAAGAGTAATTAAAAAACAAAGTTTACTGTCATATTATGACACACAGAGCACTATATCCTCTCTAACCCTTCTGCTGTGTCAAATCCCCATTAAGCCCTGTAAGCAATTTTTTTTTCAAGGATCTACCTTTACTCAAGTACAGCCCTTAGATATTGGCTCAAAAGAGCCAGAAGAAGCATACAGGGAAGAACCATACAAGGTTCTACAAGAACTGATTTCAGATAACGGTGCAAAACATGAAGGGTTCAGTTCACTCCTGGGAGTAACTACCCTCCAAACAGTACTTCAGAATTAACAAGATTAAGGACAGTAGCACTCCTTGGGCCAAATGCTAAGCTCACTTCAGGAGCTGAAGCAATAGAATTACTTTTTTTTTCTGAGGAATAATCTGGCCTCTCTCTCTAGTGACATGCAGGCAACAGCTCAGATTAGCTGGCACATAAAAACTTACCTGGAGATCATGGACAACTAGTACAGTCCATGAGATCTGTCTAAAGCATGAAGATTCACAGAAAAAATGAATATGAGGGGTGGAAAAGATGCCAGATAATTCAGCTCACAGCCCTGCAAGCAGATTATTACAACTCATTATCCTCCATATCAGAAAATCATGGGGCTTCTCACTATCTTTCGGAAGCTCTTCTGAAGTTACTGCAATGTTGTCAAAATCACCAAGCGAACTTTTCCCTTTCTTATGCTCATCACTGTATCTTAATTTCTTTTTTCACCAAAATTTCTATATATCAGCCAAACTTTGGGAACAATTTAAAATGGAATAACCAGAGTTTGACTGAAACTATTAGAGCTGTTAGAGTTTATGAACCTTGCAAGGGGGGAGGGGGGGGGGGGTTATTCACAGCAATAAAAATCACCACGACTTGCTTCTGGTAATGAAGACTACTTTATGGGCTCTACAATCATGGGGATTTTAATACAGAAGCTCCTTCTGTATTGATACTTATGCCTAGAGAAAATATTTCAAAGAGAAAAGTTAGATCTGTGGCTGTTCTTCCAGTCCACTTATGCCATTCTTATGACTAAAAGGTGCCAGAAAGTTTTCCTAATAGTGCAACTGGGGATACAGCTTGAGAGCACCCTGAGCTTTATTCCCTCAGTATGAAAGCTGCTTTCTGTCAGCAGCTCCCCACCGCCCAGCATAGAAGGCAGATCACTATAAGCATAGAGCCTGGCACTTTAAATACACTGAGCTTCTCTGTTCATATCAGCAAAGCTAATCTAATGTGTACAGAATCATCCATGGAACCTGATACTATCTCTGAATGTCTCTATGCATGCAAATCAATCTGCTCTATTTTTTTTAGCAGCACATAAAACAAAACATTTGATTGTAATTTTGAATGCTCTTATTCTAGTAGAATACTGATTTTTCTTAGGCCCAGCAATTTTTTAACTTCTTCATTCATGTCATACTATGGGACATCTAAAGCTCCCAAGATTTTTATACATTGCTTCTTGAAATCTGAGAATCCAGAATGGTCCTCATCTCCTACCAAAGTCAACAGAAATATATAGCATTCAGCATAATAGGGAACTAGGGTGCTTTTAACCTTAGGCCTCCAACATGGTTTATGTAGCAGGAGAGAGACATGAGATGGCCAACAAGCCTGAAAAACTTTGTGTAGACCACAAACTACTGAGTCTGTTCAGAACAGAAAATTAAAATAAGCTTTCTACACTGCCTCCTTTCCCAGAGGATCCAGAACTATGGGCCAAAGGTATAAAATTGAGACCTAATTTTAGAGGTCTAAAAGGTCTAAAATTAGGTCTCCTTGGCTTAGCCAGGGAGAGCCCACATTGGAAGACACAGACTCACTCAGAGACTCTAGCTTCCAGGGGTAGAGATCTGATGAAGACTAGATTTCAGATGTTGAGCTCTCCTAAACGTACCTCCAGGAATCAAGCCTCACCCACAACCTACCAAAGCAATGGAGCACTAACCAGTAATGCTGCCTATTCTGCAACACAAGCAATTTGTACTCTGCAACCTCTCTTCATGCAACAGATATGTTGCAAAGTGGCAAAGACCCTCGCCTTATATGATTCAAACCCACTAATTGCTGGTGTTCCCCACAGTGTACTTAGAGACATACTGAATGCGTTTGTCAGACAGGTACTGGCAAGCAAGCTGTGAACCGCAAAACTCCAAAATGTCCCGTGATTTACCTGCACCAGTACCGGGAACTGGCACACTCATCTCAAAGGAAATCTTCTTGGCACACCTCTCTTCACCCTCCCCAAGTAGATTTCACTAACACATATAAAAATTAAGAATAAATAAAATCAATAAAAGATTCTGAAATATTCCTGGGCTGATGCTTCATTCCTCATGCCAGAATTTTGCCTACATAGCCGTTTCACTACCATATGGGTGGCCAAGCAGTCACTTGGGTAGGCTACAATTTTTGATGCTATGGGATCTAACTAGCTGGAAGCAAAGGAATTGGCCAATAGCTGAAGGACTTCACATGGGCAGCTCATTCAATTGCTGACCAGCCTAGAGGGTAGCTCCCGGTAATCGGGAGAAGCTAGCAGTGTCATGGCATCACAGAATGGTGGGTAGCCAGTGGAACAGGCCAGGTGGGTTCACAAGATTTACGAAAGCATGACAACTTTCCAAGCAGGTTCCCGTGAAGCTGGAGAACCAGACAACCAAGCAATGCAAAACCCAATCAACATTTTCAAAAGAGTAAGTGTTGCATCAGAAAACTTACGATCTGGTCTATTAATCAAACATCACTTCCTCACGCGTGCTAAAACTGTGAATGGGAAGCACCTGGCTGTTGTTAGCAAATACTATTTCTTCCTCCTCCTCAGACTTGATAAACAAACAGCTTGGACAGATATGTGGAGCACTGAATGGATTGTGCAACAGCTTTGTGCTCTGCTTACAGGAAAAAGAGGAGATAGGAAGTGAGAATTTAAATGGTAATGCTTCCTTTTTCTCCATTTAAATACTCTTTGACTCTGTCATAAATTTTCCACACATCCTAGGCAAGTTAACAAGCAATCCGTACAGTTAAATGAAAGTAGCAATGATCTCTTCACCTGGTATCTGGGAAACTGGAGCAACATGGAAGAAACATGAACTAGAAATGCAAAGAGAAATTACCATTACAGAATATGAAGAATCAAAAGTTAACATTTGAAAACACTCTTTTCAGCCACCTTCAGTTTATGAATGCAGACAGTGCATAGTGGTTCTGAGAAACTCAGTGTATTCCTACTAAGCTTCTGTATCACAGGAGACATCACTTTATAGATGGTCTGCAGAGCACCAAATAGAACATTGTCCAGACTTATGTGGCTCTGAATCAAATTAAATTAATGCTTGCATTACATTATTACAGATGCAGCTAAATGTTGTTCACTTGTCCTCAGCCAAACAACCTTCAAGTCTGTGGGGAATAACCTGAGAGTCACAAACTTAATTAGTAGTTTCACTCAGGCACCAGGCAAAGTCTGTAAGAAGTAGTGACCAAGGCAGTTTAATTTTCATTCAATATGCTCCTATATTAAAAGTCTATATTAATAATCTAAACAGAACACATTACAGTATCCATTGCAAAACCAAGAAACAAAGCTGTAAAGCTATTTGATGCTTTTCTAAATATGTGCAGAATTTTATAGCTGTCTATTAACTACTACTTTTATACCTAACATTTTGGATGAAGCACTGTATCGAGGAACCCATGCCATCCCACTTCAGTTTCTAGAGACAGGAACATGCATTTGATTTCTTAATTTTAGTTCTGGCTGTGATCATTCTAGGATTCACTTCCTTCCTCCTCACATATGTAATCATCACCATTATGTGGCCAGTCTGTGTCAAGACAGTATTTAACATAAACCATACTGATGACAGAGCATCTCTGCATTTTTACTGCCACCTGCGTGATGCCGAGCATGAGTACAATTCCCATCACTTACAACAGTCCCTCACCACTCCAAACTATTCAGGGGAGCAGAGGAACTCCGTGAGTCAAAAAACAACCTATAGCAAAATACAGAAAGCTCAAAGTCATCTGCAACTGGAACAAGAAGTGCTGAAAAGATTCAGAGACATCTTCCTGATCCGCTGCTACCGGAAGTTCATCAGTAGTTTCCCAGGTTACACAGTACCAGCTTCTCTACTGTCCATTTAGTCGTTACCTCATTAATTCGAAAAGTCAAAAGCTTTGACCTTCTTAGATATTTGCACATGTTCTTCTCTGGAACACTATAACTGGTATGAACAGGCTGACTCTCTGTTACAAGTCACTTGCCAGTTCAGGTGCTGAAGTGTTTGATGAAGCAGAGCACAATAAACAAATATATTCAAATCATTACTTCAGCCTCCCTTCTGTGTTCACCACCAAAAACCCAACCCAAGTGTTTTATTTGTAGGCTTAATTGCTGTTTAACTCCTGTCCTTTCTCTTCTACTTTCTCATGTGTGTTGGTGTTTGCGTTGGTGTTCATGTAATCTGCTCAGATTGTAGGGGGCTTTTTTTGAGCAACAGCTCATCTGGGAGTTTTGTTGCTTTTAACAAAACGGGGCTCATTTGTCTTTTGACATTTCTCAGTACTGCAGTATCAAAAGTGACAATAAATTCTATTTCTGATCCTTCAAATCTGTCTTATAGCTAAACTATGTATTTTCCCTCCTACACCTTCCTTTCATATTGTGACCCCCCTCTCACCTCAGCCTCCGCACCACATTTCCCTCCCACATGATCTCTAATTTTAAACCAAGCGTGGATGACTGGCTTTTATGTATAGCTCTATCAGACAGTAGGAAGTCAGGAGGTACCGAGAGAAACGTATACATGGTATAGGTCACATTAAATAATGATATCTGGCCACAGCTCTGAAAAATCCATCTTTCTTCCATGCATGAAGCCTTCCTTTACATCTCAGCATGTATTAGGAGTGTAATGTTGACTGAAATTCACAGGCAGTGAAAGCCTACGTTTATAAAAAAGGCTCAGACAAAGAGACAAGCTGTTCCCATTATTTCAAGGAGTCTACCTCTTAGTCTAACAACATCAGAATCTGAATGCCCTCATACAGAATGTAACTCTTCAAGAAATGGAGTAACAGAGCTGCCCAAGAAATACATGGCACATGACAAGACACAAAAGCTATCTCAGAAGAAGCCTTGCTTCCAGAGAGTTGGGTTCATAATACCATGAAGGTAGGATACACATTCCCTTCCCCTTCCTCACACCTTTCTTCCCTCAGCAAACATTGTGAAAGGAGTTCCTGAGCCAGTGTCTATTTCTTTATTCATATCTCTACTATACAAACACTAGCCCTTCACTTGCATTTCATCTGTGTCACCGGGTTTCAGCTTTTCCTGTTTACAGTTGATGTACCAGTATGGCAGCAGCGCCATTAGGATAATTACAGTAGTTAAGATAGGACTCCCTCACACACTATCAAGAGTCCTTTTGTGTCTCAATAATGAGGTCAGCAGTTTCCGAGATTCATAGAACAAGGACAAATTGTTTTGACAGTGTGCCAGATTTACTCCCAAGATGGCCTGTACACCTCCTGCTTCTCTGCATTGCCATTCCATGCTACTCCGTGCTTCAGGATTTTCTTCCACAGGATGAACCGTATCAAGCAGAAGCTCCTATCCTAAGGACTACCACCAGCATAGAGGCCATGGAGGAATTATTTCTAGTTGTTCAATTTCTATTGTTCACATAATTAGAAAAGCAGTGGAGGGGCAGAAGGAGAGGAATTACAAGCCAGAACACTGCATACTACTAAGCTGTTGTTACAGTGCAAGTAAGAAGAGGAAATACAATTTCTCTCTGCTCAGCTCTAGCCTGTGAGATCTGACCACCCAGATTTTTTTTAGCATTTAGTCTCACGTCCCATTCAAATCTCAGTTAACACATTTATTTCCAATAATACACAAATAGCATACTATTTCCCTTCACAGGATTCCACTAAGACAAATGTAAGCTTTCAATTAAATGGAATTTTTGTTAGACATGTCTTTTATTACATTAAAAATGTATGAATCTTCTCTATAGCCATTTCCTCAATTCATACCAATGCATTACAACTCATACTGAGGCACCAGAATTACTCATAGAACCACACTTCACAGACCTAATGACTTTAAGTAGGTTTGACTGTATATTTAAATTGAAGATAAGATAATGACAGATAAACCAGCCTCAAAACAGGCTACAGCTGAACTCCAGGACCCTAGTACAAAGTTGGTACTGAAACTATCACTGAGATACATACACAATTCTCAGCAGCTAAGCAGAGAGTAAGTTTCATGGAAGACACAACAACTGACTTTGGAAAAGCAGTGTCTACCTAATGTTCCAGCAATATAAAAGCCCCCCACGTTCTACATAAGTGGTGAGTCACTGCCAGAGTCGGTTTTCTCTCCTCTCCATGGAGTCTTAACCTTGGCTACACAAACTGTGAGGCTGTTAGTGTAAGGCCTGCTGTTCTAGGCTTCCTCACCATTTTACAGAAGAAGCAGTACACACCAATAGTTGTGCTACACAAGATTTTGTGGTCTTTCAATACACCTTGAGCCATATATCACATCATCTTCTCAGCTAAAGCTCATACTGTATCTGTACAGTAAGCATTTCACTCAGTTGTTGCTATAGCTGTACGTTATGAAACTTCCTAAGCATGCAATGTATCAGCTTTTGGCACGGATCTCTTGAGTAGGTGTGCTGTTGCAAAGCATTTGTCAGGACTAGTGTGCACTAACTAGCATTCTGTGGGCCTCAGGATCTACAGTTTCTATTGCTCTGAGTACCATAAGGCCAAGTTTCCCCTGGGCAGAAGAGCCAAAGGATGTTCTGCATTCACATATACACAGACAGAAGGAGAAGAGATCTATGACTAAAATGCAGGATGAGTCCAGCACCAATGAATTTTTAAATCTCACACTTGCATCAATTTACGCAAAAGTCTTCCATATAGGCGTGCTCCAAAATGCAGACTTAGAGAGAACAAAAGCCTCTGGGCAAAAACATTTCTGATACCTTCCAGAAAAACAGAAGGAGCCAGGAAACAGACACTTGGTATAAAATATTTTCCTCAAGTATGCCTATAGAAAAGCTTCTGAGATTGTGTCGATTTTATGAAGCATCTCCTTTAGATAACATGACATAGTTGAGATACTTTGAAATTACTAAAGGCTTTATTCCAAGGGGTTTTGCTGCCTTAGGACACAGTGACACCATGTGGCCAACTGCTTAGCCCAGAAACTACACATTAATGGAAAGGGCAGTGTAGACTTTCCTTACTTTTCTTTCTTAATTAAATTTAGATTTAGGGATGCTCAGATGCAACTGTATATTGACTGGTTAAGAGTAAACTCAGATAGAACAACCTTCAGCTGAACAAATACACAAAACAAAGCCATTCTGGATTTCAGCATGTATTCAAAAGTTTGCAAAAATGTTGTCAGAAAATGCACCAGTAAGTTCAGAAGGTAAATGTCTATTAGCACAGTTTGCACAAATGCCAAAATTTCACATTCATTTGATAGATATAAACTAATGATAGAACTATAATTCTGCCTTCCATAAAAATGCACCTGGAAGGTGTGCCCACCCTATGGTTTAATTTTGCAGCACCATAAAAAAAATGAAATTAATTTGAAAAGGGACAGATTCCTGCCTTGCTCCCATGGTTTGTTTGTGTTCCAAGTAATTACAAGTACCTCATTTAATTTTACAGAGAGACCTCAGGAGAACATTTAAATTCACAAGCAGGAACACTGCTGCTAGAAATGTTCTCAGTGGAAGTTATCATTCTGCATTATATAATATAGTGATTGATGTGATGAATCATCCCTCCCTAGTACAGATCATATTTTCCAGATCAAGTACTGCACATTCAAAAGGTACAACTCACGAAGAACAGTAAGAATGGGCAGATATCTTCTTTGAAAGAGAGAGACAAAGGCAGACAGTAAGACAGATGAAAATTCAATACCATATATATATATACATATATACATATATACCATAGTATATATACAATAAACAGAGGAATACATAAGATCAACTCTTCACTCATTGCTGCCAAAAATATACATAACGTTCACTAAAAGGTGTGTATTTGGGGCAGGGTTCAGAATGCACTGCCCTCAAGAGCAGGAAGAAAGAAAAAGCCTAAGAAATGTAACTTTTGGTTGCAGAGCCAGCCAAGTTATGCCGTAAGTTACCTGCAGCCAATGTTATTTTCCATAAATGCTGTTTTTTGTATTCATTAGATAGACAACATGTTGATATACTTTTTGTTCAGTACTGAATGCCAGGTGGACAGTTTACTTCAACACTATCAAAGTGCAGCTGAATTTAAATTCAATCTGTTGGTTTAAAAAGTTACATAACAAGATTTTCACCTACACAGATGATAATTTAGGCCCTGAGAAGAAACAGCTAGGCACTGGACTTCCAGATTCTTCAAAAAAGAGGCTGAGCAGGGAAATGAATGACCTGAGCTCTCAAATTCTGTGACCCTGACTAGTGAGATTATGCTGCCATCTTGTGACTTATGTGTTTTACTTCTCCACAGTGACACCAATATGACCCCTACACCTGGAGGACAGTATATCTCCCTGGTAGGAAAGTACAACACGTTCTGAGCAACTGAGCTCTTCTTTGTATATGGACCTCTATCTCCCTTCTTTAGCTCTCTTACCTATGACAACCTGGCCACATGCTTCAGTGACACTTCCACTGCTAATGGCTGTGCTGTCCATGGACAAAACCAGGCAGAGACCAGAAGAAAACCTGCAGAGGTGATGATACCCACATTTTAAAGGAGGAAGGTTTTGTAGTAAAGGCTACAGAACGTCCCCCTGCTGTCAAGAGAATCATCCACATGGATAGTAAAACACACACTTAGCCAGCATGTAGATATGACTGTACGTGGTGAAAAAAGACATATTCTTTGCATCTGGGAAGGAGAATTATTATAATTGATTATACAGTTTTGCACATTGATGATGAATTTTTCCTCTCTAGATTCCCAAGTGTATATTTACAGTGGAATTTTTCGTGTTTAAAAGAAGTGTATTATGATTGGCTATATTCTGAATCTAAAGGAGATTGTTCCATCTTGCCAACTGAAATACCACAGCTGTATGTCACAGTGGGTATGATGTTCCCTTGAAACAAAAAACTTCAGTTGCAGTGACTGCCCTTCAGAGTACCTGGAAAAAGCTTAGCACAGCCACAATCATACTGAAAAGCAAGCTGGGAAACTCTGCTAACACTCTTCTGATCCTTATTTGCAGTTCAACTGTCTGCGCTTTCAACAGCGTTCATTCCTAAGATACTTCAGAAGTGACAGACCTAGAATAAAACCTTGAAATGCACATGCAAGGAAAAAATTCCAGATGCAAGCAGGTTTGAAAAGCCTGAGATATGTAGGTGGTAGTCCTGAGCTAGGATACACGTCCAAGAAAGGCCGCAGAAGGAAGCACAGCAGAAAGGCCCCTCAACAAACAACTGGAGACAAATCACCAGTCTTTATCACAATTTTACATCCAAATTACTGAAATATTTTCCTTCTAATCCTTGTATGCTAAAGTAAACAAACAAAGCATTCTGCATTTAGACTTCATCTACAGTTTATAAGATGTTATATTTTCTTTAGGGCTTGACATTACAGAATGAGGGTTCCCACCTACCATCTGTACTTTATATTTGCCTGCTCCTGTTTTTGAGGAGGCCAATTGTATTGCATTGACTGTATGAATGGAACCTCTAAACCTGTGACAGTAGGGACTGTATACTTCCTTAAAACTAAGGAACAAAAAACTAAAACTAAGTTACTAAAACATTCAGGCAAATACACAGCCAGCTGAATCATCTCTGTGAGACAATCGTAATAACAATTATTACTGCTGTAGTGGTGCAAAGCTTAAGGCAAATTTACAACCAATATATTTACAGTCAATACATTCACAAAGCTTAGTCAAGAAACAAAATGAAGTGTAAAGTCATGTGGTTAGTCCCTCTCATTGAGTCAGTGATGACATAGACCTTAATCATCATTTGTTCCTTCAGAACATAAGGACGGTGTCACAAATTTATTTCTTTCCAACATTCCTGACAACGCAATTTGTCAGGGGAGACATTTGCTATGGTCATGTCACTTACACTCTGCTGCAAGTTAGCAAAGACCCATCTGACATGAAACATCACAGTGCAAAAGAGATGCTGCAGCTGCACAGTGCATGGGCCTGAGATCCAGGAGAACAATTGTTTCTGCAACTGAAAATGCCTTCTACTCTGGAGAGCCACTTTCTGATCCCCCTGTTAAAAGCCTAAAGTGAGTTCCAGCTCTTATGGCTAACTGCTAAATCTGCTTTGTAAAAACACAAAATGCTATTTAAATAAGGAATAGAATTAAATCATCTCACATCAAATCTTATCTTTAACATGATGCATTCATCTGATAGAATGGAGTTCATTATTTTCCCTTTCTTTCCAGTCGGCACTAACTGATACTAATTAAGCATGAAGCATCAATGAGACATCATTTCCAGAGTGCTGGAGCTGTAGATAGATCCTGATGACTATACAGGGAAGAAAAAGTCCTGTCATCAGCACATACATGAAACTGGTATATTTATAAACACAAATTTGCTTCTATTGGTCTTTGCATGCCCCTGTATCTTTCATTACTCTTTCTTTTACTGCTATCTTCTTCCATAGCTGAGAAAGTATTTGATCTTTCTGCTGGGTTCACATGAACTACGTTCTTGCACAAAAGGTCAGCTGAAGGCCATGTACCAGTGAAACTCCAGAGTAGATTTTAACAGCCAGAACAGAGTTTCAACAGTAAATAGTTGCTGCGCATAATCACTACTCAGAGAAATGGGTTTTGCACCAAAACATAAGCTCCCACTGCTCTGCTACTGATTACATACCTATCTGGTAAAGCATGATTTTAGACTGTGGAAAGAAGAAAAAAAAATATCTCTGTACTCACTCAGCATTTATTTCCACAAGATTCTGATCACTTTGACATTAATCTACCATCTGTGTAAAATCCCATTAATTTTGACTAGAAGGCTTCCAGGATGTGAAGTCTTGTATCACAATAGTCTCATGGTCCAGAATCCTGAAGACAGTGTTCAGGACAGCACCTGGTGAGCTGAAAAAAGAACCTGATAGAACAGAAAGAAAGAACAGACTGATACTGCCTCTTTTCCTCAGAAGGGGAAAGAAAACTTTTTTACAAGAGCAGGAGACATTCAGCTGTCAGAAAACCTGAATCCAGACTAATGTTCAAGATTTGCTGATGTTTTTCACAGAATGGCAGTAAACCAAGGATACACTGGACATTCATAGCTGGCAAGGACACAGTCTCTCTCTCAATCAAGCAAACTTCATCCACATATGTAAACAGACACTTGCTAGTGATAAAAGGTAAGAAAGCAGTTCTATTTCCCTGCAGAAATTATTGCCATGCCAGCATTTGTACCTCTCTGTTTTGAAAGGTCACCTCCAGTCACACATTTTATTTGGGGACAAAATCCACCTCTGCAACAACAGTTTGCACTGTGCCTGCCATTTCTCCCTTGTTTCACAAAGAGGGCTTAAGAGACAGCAAAAGATCAGGGTGAACCCTTCAGCCTTGGAGCAAATAACATCTTTATATCTCCCTCATATGCAGTCTTCCCTCTATAAGAGTAATATAGAAAGTTTAAAATGTCTATCACCACTCCTCTTCCTTCTCTGGTACAATCCACTCCCAGAATAGATTCAGATTGCAGCAGCAATCCAGATAGCCAATGGACTCACAAAGACCTCAGTCCATTCCAGTATTAACTGAAATATGTTGTATTGCCCTTCCTTTCAAACCTACTTCATCACAATAATCTGTAATACTGATATTTTCAAGATACAGAACTCTCTTTTATTACGTTTATCCACAATGAGAGCTCAAAAGTTGGCATTTTTATAATGAAAGAAATGAGGGAAGAAAGAAACACAGGTTCAGAAAACCTAACAGAGTGAAATAAGCTAAAATGGAAGAGAATAGAACAAAAGAGGAACAAGGAGAGAAAAGAGAAACAAGGGAGAAATAAACATCAAACCCTGGAGACAGCAGCAGAGCAGTGGTTTGATCTGAGGCTCCTCCCTGAAGCGAACAAGGCAGTAGTACACCCTGTGCCTGCTGGTCTGCAGAAGTCAGAGCTGTCTGAGGGTGCTGCAGAACTGCCAGGCAAGCAAATCGTGCTGATCAAAACAACTCTTTCTTCAGTGAAGCATTTCTTTTTAATAATAAACGACTTCTGAGAAACCAGAGATTTTTCTTTCCTTTTTGTTCTTCCTTTTTTTTTTTTTTTCTCTCTCTTTTTCAACTGAAAAGTCTATTTGGAGACACTTGACCTGACACTATCACTTTTAGAGACATGAAAACAATGAAAACATATCAGAAAGGGAAGCTTTCAGTTTTCACACTTCTTTAATGAAAACCTAAAATACAGAAAGTAAAATCTTACAAAGAAAGCATTCCTGACTATCCCTACGTAGAACTCTGCACAGCAAGAAGGGCAGAGACATTCTTCTGCTTCCCAGGATAATTGCATTTCTGCCCATAGCATCCTAAGACGCCTTCCATCTAGGACCTCCTTGTCTCTGCATGCTAAGTGCATGCATTGAACAGAGAAATCATCCCCTCCTTTTTACACGTAGTAGGAGAGGGGCTCTTGTCTTCCAAGAATGCCACATCAACTTTATTCTACAGAGTAACAGGAAAGCAGTTGAGACATGCACAGGCATTACTCAATTCAGGGCTCTGTGTACAGTGATTTGGCCTGAACAGATGGCTAGGAGGTTATAAAACAAATGTGTTTTACTATATGAGCGCAAAATGAAATGACTCTTTTGCCAAAGTTGGCTAAGAGTCAGAACAGCCGCAGAGAATACACAGAATTTATGAGACTAACCTCTGGATTCCTTCCTGAGCCCAGGAAATTGCATTTCTTTGAGATCTGACATTCATTAACAATGAAAAATTATACTCTTTTGCAAGGAGCAGGACAAGAACATAGAAGCACTGAAAAGTCAAACCGTCTTACATGAGAAAGGAATAAAAAGGGTAAGAAGTCAGTCCTCAAAATTTCTACTCTCCTCTCACTCCAGAGAAAGGGAAAAATTGCACTTGCAAAGGATAGAGAGCAAATGTTCTCAGAAATTCAAGATAAGAATTTTTCTTAAATTTGTAAATTGGCAAGTAGAGAGGTATTACCTGCTTCAGCTCATTACTGTCCTGTGTATGGTGTTTTCTATATGGCTAGTCAGGCAGACAAAAATGATGAAGAAAAAATGCCCAGAAAACAAAGAAAACAGAAAATTAAGGAAAGAAAGGAGGCAGCTCTGGCCCAAGTACAATTAAACTCTCTCTGCTTAGGAACTCCTAGGTGCTCTTCACAATCAAGGCTTTCTTTCAGGTGTCAAAAGGTGAAAAGCCCACTTACGGTGGCTTTTTTGAAGCAGTTCTTTTACTGATGTACAGTGATTCTTCAGGCTATGCAAAATATACTTCAAAGCCAGAGAAAATTGAACAAAAGAAAAAAAGATAATGCATGTCTCCAGTCCTCCTCATCCCTCCTCTGGGCATGGGCACAATATTCCAGATGCAGTCAGGGAAACACAGGGCACAA